TAGAGAGAGAGAGACAGAGACACAGGAGGAGGGAGAAGCAGGCTCCATGCCGGGAGCCCGATGCAGGACTCGATCCCGGGACTCCAGGATCGCACCCTGGGCCAAAGACAGCACTAAACCACTGAGCCACCCAGGGATTCCCCATTTTCATTTATCTTAAGATATTTTTCAGTTTACCTTCTTCTCCCATTTGTTTTAAGAATATTTTACTTTTGGGGTACCTGGCTGGCTTGGGCTTGTGAGTTTGAGCCCCACATTGGGTATAGAGATTACTTTTTAAAAATCTTTGCATTCCCACCCTCAAGTTTAACAATCTAGGAGGCAATGGGTTTTTTGTTTTAATTTTTGGTTCTGCCCTTATTTTTGAGATCTCTACTTTTAAAGACAGAGAAACATTTAAGTTAGAAATATAATTAACTCAGAATGATACATTTGGAATTTTTACTGGTTTCTGCCATTCAGATTAAAGCACAATGTGGCATGGTACAATCAATGAACTTTTTCCTGAGTCCTGACCTGGTAGATTGTCAGCTTTCACTTGGGAGGAAGACATCATACTAGTTCAGTTTTAACAGGGAATATTGGAGGTTTTTTGGGTTTGGTGGGTTTTGTGTGTGTGTGTGTGGTTCTATTTTGTTTTTTAAACACATATTCAGAAAATAGGGTGGAACAAATATATAACTTGATAAATTACTGTATGTGAGTGCCCTTACAGCTACCACCCAAAACAAGAAGTAGAACCTTTATGGCCATTCCTGAAGTCTTCCTTGGCTCTGTTTGACATAACTGCTTCCTTCTCCCTAAAAGTAACCACTGTCTTTCATAGTAATCCTTTCTTTGTGGTTTTTTAAATAGTTTTTATTATTGTAAAAAAACTAGTTTTTAGTCTTTAGTTTGTAAAAATATGTCTTTAGAATGTCTTTTAATCAATAGATTCTCTGTCTCTATAGAATATTTAACTGTTGAGGAATCTGGGCCATTTCATTTGACTTACTGAGTTTCCCTACACCATGGATTTTGCCTATTGCATAGTTATGATGTAATTCTAGTCTCCTCTATTTCCTGCAAATTGGCAGCTGCATCTAGAGGTTTGATGAGACACAAGTTTGATCCTCTGGTAATTGTGATATCCTGTTCTTTTGTCAGGATGCACATAATATTTGGTTGGTTGTTCTCATGATCTACTGTGAAACAAATTACCTTAAAACTTAGTAACTTAAGGGGTGCCTGGCTGCTCAGTGGTTGAGCATCTGCCTTTGGCTCAGGTTGTGATCCCGGGGTCCTGGGATCAAGTTCCACATCAGGCTCTCCAGAAGCAGAAGAGCCTGCTTCTCCCTCTGCCTATGTCTCTGCCTCGCTATGTGTGTCTCTCATGAATAAATAAATAAAATCTTCCAAAAAAAAAAAAAAAACCTTGGTAACTTAAAAATTGTTTTGGGGCACCTGGCTAGCTCAGTCAGTGGAACATACGACACTTGATCTCAAGGTTGTGAGTTCAAGTCCCATATTGGGTGTGGAGCCTACTTTAAAAAACTTAAAAAACAAAAATAAAAATCTTTCATTGTATCTCATAATTTTGTGGGTCACAAATTCTAGCAGGGCTCTGTGGATGATAATTCTATTTCATGAAATTTGGTGGATGGGCTGGTCTAGAGGTTCAAAGATGGCTTCATTTACATACCTGACACACTGATAGAAATGGCTGGAAGACTAGACTTAGCTGTGCTTCTCTTGCTTTACATGTAGTCTTAGGTCTCTTTACATTGTCTCTCCAGTATAGAAATCTGAATTCTTACATAGTAATTGTCCAAGAAATTGTATAAGTATTAAGACAAATAGTTTGGAGAAATACTTTGATAGATGATAGATCCTGTTTCTTTTTAAAGTTCACCTGCTGATTTTATTCCCTATCCATGAATATTGCCGGTAGCAATTGTTACTGTGGTATTGAAATAGTGATTATCTGTTTTTCTCATTCCTTTTTACCTTTATTAACTAAGCAATTTTCTGTAAAAATAATATCTTATGTCTTGCAAATAACCTGTCCGCAGTTATTTATTTACTTGATTATTGTTCACATCAGTTTGGACTTATGGGTAGTTGCTTTATTTTTGAGTGTTTTTTTTTTTAAAGATTGTATTTATTTATTTATTTATTTATTTATTTTAATTTTTTAAAATTTATTTATTTATGATAGTCACAGAGAGAGAGAGAGAGAGAGAGGCAGAGACACAGGCAGAGGGAGAAGCAGGCTCCATGCACCGGGAGCCCGACGTGGGATTCGATCCCGGGTCTCCAGGATCGCACCCTGGGCCAAAGGCAGGCGCCAAACCGCTGCGCCACCCAGGGATCCCTGTATTTATTTATTTATGAGAGACACAGTGAGAAAGGCAGAGACATGGGCAGAGGGAGATCCCAGGACCCCGGGATCATGCCCTGAGCCAGAGGCAGATGCTCAACTTCTGAGCCACCCATGTGCCCTATTCTTTGAGTTATAATCCAATACTGTCATCATTCATTTTCTTACACTAGGTTTTTTTATCTTTGGCCATTGAGATGTTTCAGGTTGGCTTCTGTATCCTTTGGACTTTAGACTAGTGTTTTTTTATTATTACTGTTGTTTTTGTTAGAATTTCAGCAATTTTTTAATGTTATCACGTGCAATTTATTAGGTAGATGTCCAATATCTTTGTATTTTTCTGGTAGACTAGTTTTTAAAATGTTCCTCTGGTCTGCTTTCCTTGTAGAGAGGTTAGTCTATTCGTTATTTTCTTTTCCCCCCTATAGCTATAGATAGCATTTGACCTCATTTGTGTGTGTGTGTGTGTATGAGAGAGAGAGAGAGAGAGAGAATCGCATTTGACCTCATTTGTGTGTGTGTGTGTGTGTGTGTGTATGAGAGGGAGAGAGAGAGAGAGATCTTTCTGAGCTTCAGGAGGCATGTTAAAGGTAATATTTTCATCTTCAAAGAACTTCCTTTTCTGATAGTATTTACAAATGTGGTTTGATTTCTAAGATTTCCTAGCTTTGTTACTCTCTCTTCTTCATCTCTGTGTTACTTATACTGTATAATTTTGCTTCTGTTCACAGCATTCTGTCCTGCTTAGAGTCCTGTCTTTCCATTTCAAGAGTTTATAGAAACTAGACTGTACCATCTCCTTAGATTTTATGTAGGCTTCTTCCACTCACCTCTTCTCACCTGCTTTTAGAATGCACAAAACGTCTTCTATTTTCAGTCCTCAAATTATCTCTCTCTTCTTTCCATTGAATACCTTTTGGCTTTTTTGGTGTTCCTTTGCTCTTACATCCATTGGAGACCCTGTTGTTTTCCTCTGCTTTTGCTTTTTACTGAAGCTGAAACTACGCAGGTCTTATGTCACTCACTGGTTTGTCCTCAACCACTTAAGTTTTCAGGTTCTTAGATGTAACTAGGTAATACCTGGTTTTGTTGTAAATTCCATAGTTCTTTAGTTTTGCTTTTTAACTGCTGTTTTTATGGGGTCATTTATGGAGATTCAAGGTTTCATAGAATCTTTTTGCTATTATTATTTTTTTTTAAATAACAGTTTGAGAGGTACCTGGCTAGCTTAGTCAGTAGAGCATGCAACTAGTGATCTCAGGGTCGTGAGTTTGAGCCCCATGTTGAGTATAGAGCTTACTTACAAAAGAAAGACTAGATTATAAAATATCAGTTTGAGCAAAATATGTTTTGATGGCATATTAAACTACAGATATGCTTAAATTATTGGTTAGATACTGAATAGCTAAAAACTTATGTGGCTGGAAGATTTTTTGTGACATGTTTTATTATTTTCCACCGTCTTATTGGATTGAAAACTAAGTTTCTATTTCCAGTTTACTTTGGGAACTTGTACAGGCCATTTGAAGAATCATTATATGTTACTTGTGAAGTGCTCTAGCTTTATAAGAAATTGACTGGGTAAATCTTTGTGATCTCTTTCCATAATTGCTTCTACTTCTGAATTGAGATTGAAAAATTTTTTTCATTTCATTATTGCCAACCTATTTTTTTTTTTAGATTTTATTTATTTATTCATAGACAGAGAGAGAGAGAGAGAGAGAGAGGCAGAGACACAGGCAGAGGGAGAAGCAGGCTCCATGCAGGGAGCCCGATGTGGGACTCGATCCCAGGTCTCCAGGATCACACCCCAGGCTGCAGGTGGCGCCAAACTGCTGCGCCACCAGGGCTGCCCCTTGCCAACCTATTTTAGCTTTCTCCCAAGAAGAGGCAGTTTGGTAGACTTAGATTAAAATTAATCAGTTGTTAATTAGTTGCCTACTGTGTACTGCACAACTTTGTTCTCAAAGTTATCTTTCAAAATAGAACTCTTTTCTGTAACTGTTAAAGACCAAATCCAGTGTTTTCATTCCATTATTATTTCCATAGATACATTTATTTTCTCCTGTGGAAATGATTTTAGTATTACTTATAGCACTTTGCCAAACATGACTACATTAGAAAGCAATAGAAGTATGTGAAATATTCACTTGGGGTGAGATGATCTTTCTGCTAAAGGGAGCTAAAGATTGAAATATAGGCCTGCTGAGACCTATTTATAGATATATTAAAATGGTTCTCAGATTCACTTCTCAAAGTGAACAAAAAGCTTATTTTTTTTAAGTGGAAAAGAAGCATCCAACCTCTAGGTAGGCTTGGAAGTTATACAGTGACATTTGAGTTTTAGTAGGAGCTTTTGGGACTTTTTTCTTCATGCTTTCCCCCTATACAATTAATGATTCTTATCAGCTAGATTAGATCAACTGATCTGATTGACTCTCATGCCTTCCTAGAATAAGTCAGGAGGATTTAGGTAATACTTTTGTTGAACAGGGCTTATATAGTTTGAGGTATTGGCTAAATTAGTGGGTAATTTAGCTGGTCAGATTTTTATTATACTTTGGTCTACATATTACGTGTATTGAGGTGTAACATTAAAATTACTTAGGACAATAGTCGTTTTTGTCTCGTCTGCTTTCAGGTTCATGCATGGGAGATTTCAGACCAATTGTTACAGATCCGACAGGATGTGGAATCATGCTACTTTGCTGCACAGACCATGAAAATGAAGATTCAGACCTCATTTTATGAGCTCCCCACAGACTCTCATGCCTCTTTACGGGACTCATTACTAACCCATATCCAGAACTTGAAAGACTTGTCACCTGTCATTGTAACGCAGGTAAATCCTGTGCTTCTCATTAGAGAAATTTGTAAGGCCATTTGGATTTATCAAATTAATTTTGATTGATGTTGCTAGGCCACGTGAAGTAATGTTAACAACTTTATTAGAGTTACTGCTATTTTCTTAAGTGGATAGAAAGTGAAAATGTAAATCTGTGTTACTGTTAGAGTTCATTTGATTTCAAACCAATTTAAGTACCAGGAATGGGGGAGATGAGTATAGGTTTTCACAGGCAGGCATGTGTGGTGCCACTCCTCTCCCCCCATTAAAATTGCAGATAATAAAAATTTTGTATACTGTACTGTTCTGGGTCAGAGGTCTGCCTACTTGCCTTTAAAAAAAAAATCCTTTCTGGACTAATTGACTAGTAAAAGCCTCATGTATGAAATAGTGAACCATCTGGCCCTTCCCCCTTAGACTGGGAAATACATTAGAAAGGGAAACTGGAAGAAGCTTCAGTGAATACATACTCACGCATGTTCTCTGCCTGGCGTAGAAGTGCCCTTGAAGAGGAAGGAGGCTTTTGCATAAAGCTTCAAGATGAGAAATGGAAAGAGAAGGGAAATGGCATTCCATTACTTGAGGAGTGAGCCAAAGGGCTGACTTTGTCAGTAGCTCTGGCCTTTTGGCAAAGTATAATTTATCTGTCCATGAAGTTCTATGGTATTGCCAAATAAAAGTAAGTATTGATGTATTCTGAGGAAAATCTGTAGTCTGTTCTTTCTGATTTCTTTTTGTTGTTTTTTTTTTTTTTCATTTTTAGATGTAAACTTTTAAATCCTAGCAATTTGTATCTAGTCCAGAAGAGTTTACATGATATATGTAGTTGTGAAAGTGAGGAGAGGTGGGGGAGGTGTCAGTCTTTGTTGTCATATTGTTTGGAAAAAGTTTAGTTTCTTTGCTTTCTAATTAATATTGTTGGTAACCCTATTTCTGTTCATCTGTTCTATTCATTATTCATTTCATTTATTTAATCTCTCTTCTTATTCAGCTCGCTTTAGCAATAGCAGACCTTGCCCTACAAATGCCTTCCTGGAAGGGATGTGTACAAACATTGGTGGAAAAGTAAGTCACTTATGTTGACTATATACTAGCATTTGGAATTACTATTAACCTACAAAGAGAAATTTGTTAGCATTAACTAGACATTTGGAATATTTCCCCAAACTCTTAACCAAGAATTATTTATTATTAACTTCTGTTAGAATAAAAGAAAATCATTTGAAATTTAAATATTACAGAATTGTCATGTGGGACATAAAAGGCTCTCTCATAACTTATACATACATGTTCTTTGAATTAATTGCAACAGTCTTTTATTGTCTTGTGGATCACTCCTACTACCTGACATGTCAGCAATTCAAAAAAACATTGTCAGAATGTTTAAGATTATATTAAATTGAAAATCATTATGAGTAAAAATTCTTCCTAATTGGGGTTTGTTTCATATCTGTCAAAGGGACAGTATCATTTTTAGATACATAGAGCCTGCTACTTTGTTGTTGTTTTTGTTTTTGTTTTAAGATTTTATTTATTTATTCATGAGAGACAGAGAGAAAAAGGCAGAGACCTAAGGCAGAGGGAGAAGCAGGTTCCCTGCAAGGAGCCTGATGCGGGACTCGATCCGGGTACTAGGGATCATGCCCTGAGCTAAAGGTAGACGCTCAACCACTGAGCCACCCAGGTGTCCCAGAGCCTGCTACTTTGAATAAAAGCATTTCCTCATGGTCTTAGCCAGATAATCTTCATATTTGCTTGCGTTTCAGCATTTGATTAGGAAATTATTTTTGAACAGAATGGATGTCCTTTTTACCTCCAACTACAATGTGTCATTAGTGACTTTAAGAAAATTTTCTTTTTTTTTTTTAATTTTTATTTATTATTTATGATAGTCACACACAGAGAGAGAGAGGCAGAGACACAGGCAGAGGGAGAAGCAGGCTCCATCCACCGGGAGCCCGACGTGGGATTCGATCCCGGGTCTCCAGGATCGCGCCCTGGGCCAAAGGCAGGCGCCAAACCGCTGCGCCACCCAGGGATCCCAAGAAAATTTTCATTAAGAAAATCAACACATGTTCCTTAAAAAAATTCTAATAGTATGGAAGCTTTCAAAGTAAAAGCCTCTCTCTGTCCCTATTCCTGTATTTTATAAGTAACCACTATTAATAGTTGACTGTATAGCCCTCCAGACTTTCCTTTAAGCATCTTGAAATAAATAAGTGCATATACATTTTAGTATACCTATGAATTTGTTCCCTCATATGTAATATATTTCATACACTTTTTTTTTATTTAATACACTATGGACATCTTTTCATGTTAGGACATAGATATTTCAGTTACTGTAATGGCTACATATGTTCCATTGTATGACTGTAACCTTTTTTTATCCTAATTATAGAGGACCTTTATTAATTTCCCAATATTTTTGCTATTATAAAAAAGTACTGCAGTGCATATTTTTGTATACTTTGGATATGTATGTGAGATTTTTCTGGGAGAGAAATTTCTGCAAGTGGAGTTACTGGGTCAAAGATTATTATGCAAGTTGAAATTTTGATTTCCAGATACCTTTCCAAAAAAATTTTAGCTGTTTTTTCCTCCACTTTAACAGTAGTGAGAATGCTGCTTTTGTTGTTATAGATTATTCTGAAGCGTGTTGTTATCTTATGTAATTGTGTATTTTCTGACTGTAAATAACTTCAGTCTCTCTCCTTTTCTTTTCCAGATATAGCAATGATGTAACTTCTCTGCCTTTTCTGCTGGAAATCCTTACAGTGTTACCTGAAGAAGTACATAGTCGTTCCTTACGAATTGGGGCTAACCGGCGTACAGAAATTATAGAAGATTTGGCCTTCTACTCTAGTACAGTGGTATCTCTATTGGTAAGTGTGAATTACTAAGTTGTTCTGTAGAGGCAAAAAGCCTTGGTGGTTATTTTCTAACTCAGTTGCATTATTGTGAAATACAGCTTTCTTTGCAAAAATTGGCGATGATCTGATAGCATTTATAGAACACTTTACAGTTAAATACTTTCAGAAACTACATGGAGCTTGTAGTAGTGCTGTAAGGGTGATGTTGTTTCCATTTTATGAATGAGATATGAGCTTTAGACTTAATACAATTGCTAAATCAGAATTTGAACTCAGGCTTTTCTGATTACGTCTCTTGCTTTTTTACTCTTTTATACTACAAACTAGTGGCTCTTGATGAAGGACCATGCTAAGGGAAAGTGTATAAATTTACTTAGGGAGAGGATCCCCTCTTAAAGATCAATTGAAATTTTGATAGGGAGGTGATTCAGGACTTTGACCTTTGAATATCATAATTATAGATTAGATAATACTACACCATCTTTTTTAAAAAAGTTAAATGTGATTAGGTCCTTTTTGATTAGGTAGACATTTTAATGCTGTAGACCAGAGATGGGTAAATTTATGGGTAATCTATGAGTTAGTCACCTGTTTTTTTTTTTTTATTTATGGGTAATCTATGAGTTAGTCACCTGTTTTTTGTATATAGACTTTTTTGGAAGACAGTCATTCAGTTATGTATTGTGCATATCTGTAATTTTGAGCTGAAATGGCAGAATTGAATAGTTCAGGACTACATATGGTTATAAAATCTAAAATATTTACTATTTGGCACTTTAAGGAAAATATTTGCTGGTTCTTGAACTTTGATGGTATTAAATTGTCTAGCCCGTATCTCATTATCTCATTTTTAGGTCTTTCTCGTCAGGTGAATTTTTTCAATAATGTAGTTATAGATTATTTTTCAGGAATTTGTTTCAGTACTTTTACAACATCATAGAACTTTTTATTTGAAAAGTAAAATTTTTACTTAATTGTGTTCAGATTGGTGTTAGAAATTCACTGGAAAATTATTCTTTTACATGCATTTTTCAACTTAACGTTTATTTTAAAGAAATAGTATTATTGAGAATTAGAAAATACAGACAAATTATATTCAAACCATCTGGAGATCACATTATTAACCCTTTAGTACATATCCACTATGAACATGTGACAAATTTTTTAACTATAAGTGAAATTATATTTTGCCTATCCTCCTACAGCCTGCTTTCTCAGTTATCCAACTTCATCTTTCCATTTCAGTAAATTTTTATATCATCTAATAAATACCCAGACCATATTCACATTTACCACGTTCAATCCTAAAATATTCTTTACAGCATTTTTCTAAATCAATATCCAGTCTAGAACCATGCCTGTGTCAGTTTATTATGATTCCTAATCACAGTTCTGCTTCCCCTTCTTTTTCTTTTCTAAGATTTTTTTAAAATTCACTTATTCATGAGAGACACACAGAGAGGCAGAAACATAGGCAGAGGGAGAAGCAGGCTTCCTTGCAGGGAGCCTGATATGGTACTTGATCCCAGGACTCGGGATCACAACCTGAGCCAAAGAAAGACGTTCAGTCACTGAGCCACCCAGGTGCCCCTCTTCCCCTTCCTTTTCAAAACACAACTGATTTCAAGGAGATTGGACTGGTTATTTATATTATAGACTACCTTGCCTTTTGGATTTTCTGGTTGTCTTGTCTTTGTTTCATTTAGTTTGTTTTTCTGTTCTCTGTATTCCCTTAATTGGAAGTTGTATCTAAAACAGCCCTTCTCAGTAGGGATTCCTCTAGAGAATTAAGCCTTAATGCCCTAAGGCATCCATTGTATGGAACAGATTCTCTCCTATGCATTAATAATGGTAGGAGCATGCTATCCATAGGATAATGGAAAAAACAGTCACCCAAATCATTTTCTGTAAGGCTTAATTCTTTTCAAAACCATGGTTGAGAAAGACAGAAAGGCTTGATGATTGATTTAAAAATTTTTTTAAAATTTTTATTTATTTATGATAGTCACAGAGAGAGAGAGGGAGAGAGGCAGAGACACAGGCAGAGGGAGAAGCTGGCTCCATGCACCGGGAGCCCGACATGGGATTCGATCCTGGGTCTCCAGGATCACGCCCTGGGCCAAAGGCAGGCGCCATACCACTGCGCCACCCAGGGATCCCTTGATGATTGATTTTAAAAGGTTAAACATTTTGGGACTCCCGGGTGGCTCAGTGGTTGAGTGTGATGATCACAGAGTCCTGGGATTGAGTCCCGCTTTGGACTCCCTGCATGGAGCCTGCTTCTCCCTCTGCCTGTGTCTCTGCCTCTCTCTCTGTGTCTCTCATGAATAAATAAATGAAATCTTAAAAAAAAAAAAAAGAAATAAAAGGTTAAACATTTTTAAATTTTTATTTATTTATTTTAAGGGTGGGGAGGGGCAGAGGGAGAGAGAATCTTAAGCAGACCCCATGCCCAGTGCAGAACTGACACGAGACTTGATCTCACAACCCTGAGATCATGACCTGAGCCGAAATCAAGAATCAGGCACTGAAGCTCATCAAAAGGTTAATTAAACATTTTTGTCTGGAATACATCATAGATACTCCATAGGCATCTTATCAGAAGAGAAATACTTTTTGATGACCTTCCATTAGTGACATTAGGGTTGACTGGATTAGGATGATGACAATCTGATTCTTCCATTTATAAAGTTTGTTTTCTTCCTTGTAATGCAATTTGTATGGTGGTAGTTTGTAAAATAACAAATGTTCAATTCTGTATCAACCTTTGCCTAAAGATTTCAAATTCTACTTGGTGTAATCATTGTCTTAATAATTTTATTGTAGTTTGCAAAATAATATTTTAATTCTTTCATTCCTTCTGTGTGTATAAGTTGGCATTCTTGTGAGTACTCTGGTATTCTACTAGAAAGGCACGATAAATCTTAAATTCTTTTTAAATTTCCTGTTTGCTAAATAAGGTTTTGTTTTAAATCTGCCTCAAGTGTTATTTTTTCTGACATTTTCTTATGGAATATCATGACTCAGGATTTTCACTGATGTAGGGTCTCATCTAAAATCATTCTTTTGGTGCTTAAAATGTCATAACTTTGGCCACTGGAGCATTTCTTTCCTTTCTAACAAAAAAAGATGACTGATACTCCCCTTGTTACCTCTTTGCTCTAGATCTGGAATACTTGGTTCCTATTAGTATCAGTCTGTATCTAGTCAGAAGAGAGAAACTATATAGTAGTGTGTGAGAATGTTCATTCATTCATTCATTCAAAGATTTTATTTATTCATGAAAGACACAGAGAGGCAGAAACATAGGCAGAGGGAGAGAAGCAGGCTCCTTGATGTGAGACTCGATCGCAGGACCCCAGGATCACTACCTGAGCCGAAGGCAGATGCTCAACCTCTGAGCCACTCAGGCATCCTGGGAATGAGAGGCCCAAATTCTCCAGGTGAATAAGTTTGTCTTCCAGTTTATTGGAATCATGTTTGTATTTCCGAGTAGAAGCATTTCTTCCTTGGGGACCAAAATCTCCAAACCAATAAAGGTAAAGTTGCTCATTACTATACTTCCCTTACTCTGCTCTGAGTTCCTTGATTAGATAGGATGCCATGGTGGTTGGATATGACATTCTGTGAGTCTGTGAATGATAGAAGCACTGACAGAAGCACTGCAAGCAGGGAAAGCAAATCCATATCCAGGATGTGAGTCTCCCTCTCTTCCTGTGAGTGTTGTCCTTCCAGACAGATGTCTGCTTCTTTTGTGATGGAAGTCCAGTGTAATCAATCAGCCTGGTTCCCATGGTAGATGGTGCCATTTTAGGCTGCTGTTGGCAGATATGACATTCATCAGTAGTTTTAACTTAGTGGAAGTCCATGTTAATCCTAGTGTAGCGTCCATCATTCTGTAATCCAGGCTTGATTTTTCTTCTTTAGTCATTTAGGTCTTAAGGAACATGCCAAGAGGCAGGAGACAACGGGCATGAATTGAGGAACATGAGCCAGTGCAAGAATAGTTGATGTCAAAGGAATCTGACCTATCTGCTCATGCAACTTTCTTATATCTTTTTGAAGTCAGTCTCTTATATTCCATTTCTCTTTGATAACAGGTTGCTGTTATGTATGTATCGCCATGTTTAGTTAGTTCAGATAATACTCATTTCATGATGAGAAGCTCAGGCCATGTGATCACCTGATGTTCTGTGGATAGATGTTTGGTTTCTACCAAGGTTCAGTAGTAAGCCAGAAACTGTTTCTCAAAAGAATAATTACCTGTAGAAGAAGATACAGATTTGCTCCCAAGTCCTAGATATTTGCACTATGATTTGTACTTCCCACAGGTGCCATATATTCATTAAATCCAGAATCTCTAAGAAGTACACTCATATCAGTGAGTTTGGCTCAAGTTAGTAGTATATTCCAGCCTCCCTTCATCTAATAAATACCCTTAGAATCATTCCCACATATGTTCCTCAGGTTTCTTCAGGTATATGTTAGCAAAGTTGTACAGTTTTTTTGTTATTTCCTCTTGTATTTATATACCTGTCTCCCAGAACATGCTAAGATTTGACCATAGTTATGGGTGACACAAGAAATGGTTGTGGTAGATCTTGAGGAGAATGGGCATCCCCTTTGAAAGGCACCTGAAATGAGGCTATTACAGAGCTTTCAAACTAGTCTAGTTTGAACTAGAAGGCTAGTCTTCTCAGACACTAGAAGGCAGACTACACCTGCTGTTAAGGGATACTCAGTAATTTGGGAGTTCAAGATTATCCATTTCATTAGGGTCCAACCAGATGTCTGTAGTCCGAGTTTCAGAATTCCATGCTTTACAGTTTAACTTTCACATGAGAAATTTGGTGAGATTGTGAATTCAGCTGTTTATAATTCAGTAAACCACACTATTATGTGTGTGTATATCAGCCCTGGAGCTACACAAAATAAGAGCCTCGTACTGAGTGGTTGTGGAAGCTTTGATTCTCAGACAATGATTTAAATTGAGTTAAGGGACCTGAGCTTGTTTTATTTTTGTAAGCATTCACATGAAGTCAAAAGAATCCAGTCAACACTGCAGTTCCTATAGTCATCATTATTGGTACAGTGGTCAAGTGCAGCCGCCACTTGGACTCCCAAGGCATATGCTTGACTTAATACTTCTTCATAATTGACAACAGGCAATAGCTTGGTTTGTTATAATGAAATCTGAAAAATTTGTCCCTGTAGTACTTAATAAGGTCTATAATTCTGTCATGTAACTTGTCATGCTATAGAACCCAGAAAACAAAATGTCCAGAATTGCCAGGAAAAATAGGTTGGCTGTAATATCAGGTACCAGAGGCCTCTTAAATCTTTTTCATGGTTTTCCCCATTCCTCTTATTCATTCTATTCCATCCCATTTTGTTAGTATGACACTTTTGTGGTCCATTAGAATGGAGCCATTTCTAAACATTGTGTTGAACTTTTAAACACTTTAAATATTATTCTTCTTGCCCTTAGAGTTGAACTGAGCCTGTCCTCTAATATATTTTAATTTTCTTCCCTTCATTTGTTCTTCATTTTGTTAATCCAAGGTTAATTCTTACTTACCTCTGCTGCATTTTTACTGGTGAGCTTTTCTGGCATTTATGTTTCAGCTTTGAGGCCTTGCTTTAAGAGAGAATTCTTAATAATACAGTTCTTAAAGAGGAAGCCAAGGTAACCCTTTCTAAGTTATGAAGGCAGATGCTCAATCGCTGAGCCACCCAGGCATCCTGAGAAACAGTGGTTTTAGTCTGACTTTCCCTTTTATCTCTTTTATCAACCCACTATATTTATAGTAGTGTATTTTTTCTGTGGAATGGTGTATTTACTGGAGTAATCAAGTGTAGCTGAAACATCAGCTTTTCATAGTAGGACTAGCTTACTTTTATAAAATCAACTGTGTAGATGAGTATTATTTTAAGATAATTTTTTGATAAGATTATGTTAATGCAGAAGAGGGATCTAAGAAACTATTATTTCTGAAACAGAACTATCTTTGGACAAGTTTTAATCTCGGTGTATCTCAGCTTCCCAGTTGAGAAAGTAGAGATAGTACCTGGCTGTAGTGTTAGTTGAGATTAATAAATTAAGGGCATTGAGAGCAGCATCTGACACTTTCAAAGCGCTTTTAACTGTTGGCCCTTAATATTATTATCCTTCTCAATATTATACCTGCAAGATGATTTTAATAATGGTTTAAAGATAAAGATTGCCATTATTTAACTTTTTTTTCCTTCTTTTCAGATGACCTGTGTAGAAAAAGCAGGAACAGATGAGAAAATGCTTATGAAGGTCTTTCGCTGTTTGGGAAGTTGGTTTAACTTAGGAGTTTTGGACAGTAACTTCATGGCTAACAATAAGTTACTAGCACTCCTTTTTGAGGTTTTGGTAAGTAATGGGTTTGTTATTGAAAGTATTTTTACCACATAGTCACAGTAGTAACTAACCTTCGGGAACATAGCAGTGTTTTCAGATTTCTGTACAGTGATTAGAAGATGTATAATAAGAAAGCAGTGTCTCTGTCTTGCTTGTTACCAAGTACCAAAGGTATTGAAGGGGGCAGCCCAGGTGGCTCAGTGGTTTAGCGCTGCCTTCAGCCCAGGGTGTGATCTTGGAGACCCAGGATCAAGTCTCACTTCACACTCCCCAAATGGAGCCTGCTTCTCTTTCTGCCTGTGTCTCTGCCTCTCTCTCTGTGTGCCTCTCATGAATAAATAAATAAAATCTTAAAAAAAAAAAGTATTGAAGGTATTAGTATTAATACTCAGAACAGAATGTAGTTAGGTTTAATAGGAAAGCAGTTTTACATGTAGATCAGTGGTTTACATATTAAACTCCAAGTAACAAAAAACCATTGGTCTCTTTTTTTCTTGTTTTGTCCCCTTTTCCTGGATGGTGTCCTTCCATAAAATCATATTAGTTTGGAAGCTCTGTGTGTACTGGTTGTGTGCTAGTGCACTATTATTTAGAAGGTGGTAGGGGCACCTCGGTGGTTCAGTCATTTAAGCATTTGCCTTCAGCTTGAATCATTATCCTGGAGTCCTGAGAATGAGTCCTATGTCAGGCTCCCTGCTAAATGGGGAATCTGCCACTTCTTCTCCCTCTTCCTGTGCTTGTTCCCTGCTCTTTCTCTCTCTCACTCAGTCAAATAAATAAATAAAATCTTAAAAAAAGAAGAAGATGATAGCATGATAATGGATTGATACCACTGTGAATTAAAGGAAAGGAAAGCACATTCTCCAAAAAGACATTTTTGGTATTCTGTTGTTAGTGTATTTATGCTGTGTTTTTTCAGGAGCAGGAGCTAAGACTCAGGAAAGTTAGGATGCTGCTAATAATTATTTTGCTAGTCACTGTCTTTGTCTCCATTTCTATTGATGCCCTACCTCAGTAATGGTAATTGATTCTCATCTCACTAAATTGTATAAAGAGTAGTCAGTATAAATAAATTAAAATCCTACTTTTGTTTAAAAGTTTATGAATATGAGGGACACCTGGGTGGTGAGGTCAGTTGAGTGGCCAACTCTTGGATTTAGGTCAGGTCATGATCTCAAGGTCATGAGATTGGAGCCCTTCATTGGGCTCCCTGCTCAGTGGGGTATCTACTTGAGATTCTCTCTCTCAACCTCTGCCCCTCTCACTCATGCACACTCTCTCAAATAAATCTTTTTAAAAAATTTATGAGTATAATTGATTACATATGAAGGGAGGGCAGTTTAGAATACACATCAAACTCAAGACCTTGGTTACTTCTGGGAATTAAGATTGGGGTAAGGAGCAAGCTAAGTATTGTGCCAGGATTATATTCTTCACTGATCCAGTGTGTCAAGACCCCTTTGCCATTTAAAAGAAGGATAATTTTAGAGTCAGTGTCAAATATATTCTCATTCTTACATTCATTCAGTGGTTCAGAGTCATGCCATTAGTTTGGTTTATGTGCAGACCACAACTTTATTATAGTGGTGTAATAAACTGTAATAAACTTTTCTCCCACAGTTCTTTTTTTTAAGCTTTTACAAATATAATGCTGGAGATATGCATATATATACAACACACAAAATATATATATATATATACGCAAAAGAATAAATTTGAGTGTTTAACTTTTAAATCATATAATAACAATAAATATTTTTGAATTTACCTCTCAACCTAAGAATAACTTAATGAATAATTTGCATCTATCTTGTGTGTTCTCCCCTCACTGTATTGCTCCTTCCCCACCCTGGAGATTCTAAATGTCCTTGTTTTTTATTATTCACAAAAGACTAATATGCTTTCACTAAATTTACCCATCCTCTCAACTGTACTCTTCTAAAAAGAAGTCCTAAAGGAACCTTCTGATCTGCTCTAATTTGTACCAATTACTCTTTAGATCTTCTCCTCAGCTGTTGTTCTGGAACTTCTCTTTACTATGCTTTTGGATTGGATTGTGTTTTTAACCTTTTTAGACACCTTCCTTAGAAAGATATGTGGGAAGTAAACTTTGAGCTTTCGCATTCCTGAGAAATACTTTTATTTTACTTTCATTCTTGATTGGTGGTTTAACTAATTCTAGGTTTAATATTCTTTTCCTTCAGGATTTCTAAGGCCTTTCTTTTGTATATACTGGCAGGCATCATTGCTAGAAGAAACTAAATAGCTGATTTTTTTGCTCTTATCAAAGTTACCTTCTCTCATCCCCAGAAGTTTTAGAAACCTTTGTTGAACCTTGGTATTCTGAAATATGGACCCTTTCATTTTATTTTCTTATATTTTTAAAGATTTTATTTATTTATTTTAGAGGAGTGGGGAGTGTTTGCAAGTGAGGGGAGGAGCAGAAGGGGAGAGAATAGGAAAGAATTCCAAGCAGACTTGGCTCTGAGTACAGGATCCAACGTGGGGCTCAGTCCCACAACCCATGAGGTCATGACCTGATCTGAAACCAAGAGTCGGCTGCCTAACCTACTGAGCCACCCAGGTGCCCTGAATCCTTTCTTTTTAAAATAGTACTTGAATATAAGAAAAAGGATGGAAAAGATTTCCACAGACTAAAACGGGGTAGAGAACACATGGCATTACATTAGGGGCGGCTGGTATGGGTGGGGGGAAACATGGAACTTTAGAAGTCATGTGACTGTGATTGAGGTATGAAAAGGCTATATGTTTGGCATATAGAGAAATAGAAATAGGACAGGGAAAATTGATGAATATTGTCTGGTTGAAGGTCATGACTGTTAGGCTGTTATGCATTTATTTATTTATTTATTTATTTTTAAGACGTTATTTATTTATTCATGAGAGAGAGAGAGAGAGAGAGAGGCAGAGACACAGGCAGAGGGAGAAGCAGGCTCCCTACAGGGAGCCCGATGTGGGACCCGAACTCGGGTCTCCAGGATCACACCCTGGGTCAAAGACAGGTGCTAAACCACTGAGCCACCCAGGGATCCTGCTGTTACGCATTTAAAGTATACTTCAGAAACAAGCTATAATTGTTTTGCTAGTACTTGGATTATAGCTTAATGATCATGTCTTTTCTGTTCCTGCTATCTCCCAGCAACAGGATAAGACTTCATCCAACCTACACGAAGCTGCTTCAGATTGTGTGTGCTCAGCTCTCTATGCCATTGAGAATGTGGAGACTAACTTGCCATTAGCCATGCAACTTTTTCAAGGAGTCCTAACATTGGAGACTGCTTATCATATGGCCGTGGCACGTGAAGATTTAGACAAGTGAGTGATTATTTCAGGCAGTAGCCCTAGGTTCCATCCTTTGTGATTCTTTGTGACTCCTTGTAAATATAGACACCTCATCCTAAAAATGCTCTGCTATTCTCTATTGAACCTAGACTGGCAAATTAGATGCAGAAGGAAAGGTTGGAATCATAGAAAGTAGTAGTAAATTTTTCCACTCACAGAGCATAAGGTTCTAAGATTTAGGAATGAACTTTGGAATATGGAGTGTGATTTGATAAGGATTTTATTCAAATGTTTTAGTAATTGAGAATTTAAACCGACTTATGAGTCATATGCTTATGTGTATAAAAATACACAATAAGGAAAAGTGGCTGTTGTAGAGATTTTGATACAGGATAGCTAATAATCACTACGTGTCCCTTAGACTGAGGATCCCTTTACTGATATAATTAACTGTCTGTAAGTATGTACGTAATATACAGATTTCTGACTTGGTGCTGTCACTACTCTTTCATCTACAGAGTTCTGAATTACTGCCGTATTTTCACTGAACTATGTGAAACTTTTCTTGAAAAAATTGTTTGTACTCCAGGCCAAGGTCTTGGTGACCTCCGAACTCTGGAACTGCTGCTTATTTGTGCAGGACATCCTCAGTATGAGGTAGTGTTTATATCATCTAAGCCCATTATTCGCCAAGTTGTATGTTGTATATTACCTATATTTCATTGCCACCCGCCCAGCTTTTTATTTGTGGGAAACTATAGTCTTGTTTTTTGTTAATGTGACGTGGTAGTTTCCTCTGTGTTGGAATTTTTTCTTTTTAAATTATATTTGAGTTTCTGTTTTTAATCTTTTTCTGTTTTCTTATGTGGTTAGTTGGACTGACTGCTGTAGGAAGAAAGCTTACTGCCTTTTTACTGAGCCCCCTCTTTAGGTCCAGTTGTTCTTTTTAGAGCTTTACTGCTAAAAACAAAACAAAACCACAAAATCTTAACTGCACAAGTCTTAACATCCAAAATTTTTTTTCCAAATTTTGGTTGGGAGGGACACCTGGGTGGCTCAGCTCAGTAGTTGAGCGTCTGCCTTTGGCTCAGGTTATGATCCCTGGGTCCCTGGGATTGAGTCCCATATCAGGCTTTCCTAGGGAGCCTGCTTCTCCCTCTGCCTATGTCTCTGCCTCTCTCTCTGTCTCTCTCATGAATAAATAAATAAAATCCTTAAAAATAACATTGTGGGTGGAAATGAGAAAGGGATTGAAAGGATTTAAAAGTCTACTCCATTCCAAAATCCCTATAGTACTCTGATTCTTAAAAAGAGTTGACTAGATTTTTAAAAATCTTGTTTATTCAAGAAGTTTTACCTCCTCTTAATAGTATAAGTGAGAAAGAACTTCCAATTTGGGTATTATTTTAGATAGGTCTATTTTGGACCCTTGATCGAAAAAGGATGGTAAGGGCTTCCTTAAGAGTACAGTTGTGTGATTCTCATTTCTTTTTCTTTTATTCATAAAAAATGTTTGTTTGATTTGATCTTTTGAGGATACCTAGATTTAGATGAAACACAAAACATTTCCGGGAGGAAGTATAGCACCATGTAATAATTATCACTCCTTTAAATAGTGCTATAAGTAAGATAAGCTGTGGATAAAGTCCTGGACTTTTTCTTCCCTTTCAGTCCCACTTAGGAAAGTTGATGAGTAACAATGACATAAGATTAGCATGTTCGGGGATTTGCAGATGCTTTGCCTATTAAGAGGTGTTTTAATCTCAAATATGAAATGATTTTTAGATTTGAAAAAAAAATACTTTTAAAGAGACTTCCATTTCTGTATCAATTTCTCTAAATTCAGAATCCATAATACTTTTGGAGAAGTTATCAGCTAAAGAGGGACTGTACCCCCACTCATCCTAAATGGAGTTTTGAGGCCTATCATGGGAAGATACTTTGGGAGGATAATAATAAATCTGCTGGAGAACATGTGGCTTCTGAACTGGTTTTACTCATACTCTTTTAGATTATATCTTTCCTGTGTAGTTCTAGTAATAAAACTGTCTTCATGTTCCATTCCTTTTCTGATTCAAATAAACTTTCTTTTCTTTTTCTCTCTTTTAACTTGACAGGTAGTAGAAATTTCCTTTAACTTTTGGTACCGACTAGGGGAGCATTTGTACAAAACTAATGATGAAGTTATTCATGGAATCTTCAAAGCTTACATTCAGAGGCTGCTTCATGCCTTGGCTCGACACTGCCAACTAGAACCAGACCATGTAAGTTCCCTTCTCCACTTCTTCAGATCTTAATTTCCTACTCTTTTCAGTGCTAATTTAAACATGAACTAAAAAGATAAGAAAATAAAGCTAATGGAATGTGCAGATTTTCTGTCACTCTATAGCTTATACTAATGGAATCCATAACAGTGTAACGAAGAGTGAGTATAAGGCTTATATAGAAAGAAGTCAGTTTTGCTGAGCCAGTAATTATTCTCCTGGGAATTTACCTTAAATAATTCTGCTGAAGGAAAAAAAGTGGCTGTTTTATATATATAAAGCATTTTCTGTAAAGTAAAAAAATGATAAATTCATGTACAATATAGGAAGTTACATAAATTATGATGTAGCAACTTGATGGATCATTATGCAAGAGTTAAAATAGTGACTATTGAAATGGTAATTGGGTCCACCTGGGTGGCTCAGTGGTTGAGCGTCTGCCTTTGGCTCAGGTTGTGATTCTGGGGTCCTGGGACTGGTCCAGCATCGGATTCCCTGCATGGAGCCCACTTCTCCCTCTGCCTATGTCTCTCCCTCTTTCTCTGTGTCTCTCATGAATAAATAAAATCTTAAAAAAAAAAAGTAATTGGTTTGCTAAATGAAAAATATCAGAATGTAAAAGTTTATAGGCTGTATTTTTTTTTAAATTTTATTTATTTATGATAGTCACAGAGAGAGAAAGAGAGAGAGGCAGAGACACACGCAGAGGGAGAAGCAGGCTCCATGCACCGGGAGCCCGATGTGGGATTCGATCCCGGGTCTCCAGGATCGCACCCTGGGCCAAAGGCAGGCGCCAAACCGCTGCGCCACCCAGGGATCCCTAGGCTGTATTTTTAATAGTATAACGTAATTGGATTAAAACTAACACTGAAGTGAAGTATTTGTGTGAGGATGTGGTGAATTATACATACCACATAATACACATTTTTCTTTATATTTTTACTGATTTTTTAACTTATGAGAAAATATAGAAATAATCTTCTTGCTTAGAAGAATATATACTAGAAATACTATAAAATAGTTGGAAAACTCTTTAACCTCCATTCTTTGCTCAGTCTCTTAAATCTTAACAGCATTTATTTATTTCATCCTTTTGGTTGGTTGGTTAGTTGGTTAAATTCCTGTTCTTTAACCTAGGAATTGAAGAGAGTTTTTTCTCATTGCTCACAATTAAATCTGACATGAAAACTATAACTGTGTTTGTTCTCTTCATTTTAATGTTAACATTTTTGTTTGAGTCATGGTATTTTGCATCTTCAAAGAATCTTAGTGATGACCTAGTCTAGTGGTTTTCAACATTTTTGTTTTGTTTAACTGAGGAATTCTATCTTCAATTACATCTTATGTGAAAGCCTGATATGTAAATAAAAGCAAAGCCTCTTTTTAAAAAATTTAAATCCAATTAATTAACATATAATACATTACTGGTTTCAGAGGTCAGGGCAGAGAGCCATCGGTCTTATATTAACACCCAGTGCTCATTATATCACGTGTGCTAAATGTCTGTTATCCAGTTACCCCATCCCCCCACCCCCACCCGTGATTACAAGTCTCCTTAAGGTTTGTCTTGCTCTCTGATTTCGTCTTGTTTTATTTTTTTCCTCTCTTCCCCTATGATCCTATGTTTTGTTTTAATTGGCCCTACTTGTTTGATCCCCTTCTTCCCTTTTGCTAGTTCCTTGGCACCATTTCCCTTGCAGTAATTCCTTATACTTGTGGAATATATAGTGCTTTATAATTTGTGGAGTGCTTTATAATTCCTTACCTCAAGATAGCCATTATTTCTTCCTCATTCTCTGACTTTAATTGCTTCATCCTAAAGTAAGGAGGTTGGATGAGATCAGCAATTCTCAATAGTATTGGGTTTTTTTCCAGATAGTCATGGATAAAGCTTATTATACATGCTCTTAACCATCTCACAGCTGGAAGCACGAAATATAAATGATCTCTATTTTTTAATGAAAAATTTCAAATATTTGGCAAAGGTCAAAATTTTATAGTGACTACCTATATACCTACTACCTAAACTCTGCTAAAACTTGTTTTATGTTTTATTATATATCTATATATATTATTTATATAGAATTCTTTTTAAAGTCTAAAATTCTATTCTGCATCCAGTTGTGATAATGACTGATTCTGGTAAAACTTGAACAGTGAAGCTTCAGAGGCTTATTCAGTACTAACAATAAGATAAACTTATATAAATTACCACCTCTTCCAGGTCACTTCCCACACTACTGTTCCAAATTTTTTCAACAACAGCAAGATGTGGCTTGGAAATGGGGAAAGGGAGAAGAGTTTCTCATAGTAAGGGTAGAGGATAAGTTGTACTGACTTGTTGACATACTGTATAGTAAAATAACCCTGATTAGGCAACTTATCTCTTGTTCATTGGGACTGAATTGCTTAGTGGCTTTTTTTTTATTCTTAATTTTTTTTTTTTTTAAGATTTATTTATTTATTCATGAGAGAGAAAAAGGCAGAGACGTGGGCAGAGGGAGAAGTAGGCTCCTCGCAGGGAGCCTGATGCAGGACTCTGTCCTGGATCCCGGGATCATGTCCTGAGCCAAAGGCAGACACTCAACCGCTGAGCAATCCAGGTGTCCCTATTCTTGGTTTTATAGAGGTCAGTAAAGCCTTACTGATAAGTTTAAAAGAAATGTTCTCCGACTTGAAATTTCAGGAGGGGGTTCCTGAGGAGACTGATGACTTTGGAGAGTTTCGGATGAGGGTATCAGATCTGGTGAAAGACTTGATTTTCTTGATTGGGTCTATGGAGTGTTTTGCTCAGGTAAGTACATTTGGAGATTTTTACTGGTTTTACAGATCACTTTAGTTATGTTCACTTCTGTATTTTCTGTAAATGTTCCACCTTATTCTTCAATTTTAATGGCTAAATAGGACAGTAGATATGCAGGTGCCTAGCACACTGCCTGGCATATAGTAGCTTTGTTTGTTTAGTTTCTTAGAAGCCAATTGCAGTCTGTGACTGGTTCAGTTATGGTTTATTCTTGCTATTGAAAGCTGTTTTACTTTGTTCAGACAGAATGGAAAATCATAGATAAACCTTAAGGCCCCAAGATATTTATAGGGAAGTTGGACTTAGCCAGGAAAAATTGGCAAGTTTTTCTGCTTTATTAATTATGTACCAACTCCTGGCAACTCTTTTAGTTATTTGGCATTTCCTTTGTCCATACTTATGGTTAGATTCCTGTGCAGTTTCATCCCAGAGGTGACTATACTAGAGTAGAAGATTCATAGTCCTGTGAATTTCCTGACAGTGAGTAACATTTTACCTCATAAGGTTGCAATCATCACCATTCCACATCACTTAACATTAGCATATTTTCAGGCAGTTTTCATATTGCTAGATTGTGCTCTAAGTTCTGAAATACTAGTTTTGATGTCAGGAATACTGAACTAACCTTTATTTTATTTTTTGGTAACCCAGCCATTTTGTGTATTTTGGGGCATAATCTGATTTAGAAAGCGTTAATAAAATTATAACTTTTTCTTTATGACAAAGTGTGTTTATTGATCTAATTACAAAGAGTTGGAGATTCTTAACAGATTCAGTGAGATCACCAGATCACAGGCAGATGACCTTTGTTTACACTTCAGCTCTTCTGTCATTCACTGTGTGGCTTTGAGCAAGTTACTTGTTTTTCAGATCTCTGTACAAATTTACATAAAGTATCAGTGTTGTCCAAGGTGTATTCTGTGGAACACTAGTCCTATGAGATGTTTTTTTTTGGGGGGGGAATCCTCAATTAAAATTAAGAAATGACTTAGACAATATATTAAAGGCTCAGTGAAGTCCTACAGCAAGAGAATTATTTAATTTTATCTTACTTAGCAATGTTTGTTATTTGACTACAGAAACCTTATTTAGACTAACACCCAGTCACATCCCAGAGGTGGATATACCTGGACTAGAACATCTCTGAGTATTCTGCTTGGTCTCTTTTCTTCTTCCCCTTGCTTGGATATGGTATTCTAAATAGCTGCTTTTTAAGAATTTAATATCTACTACTAGTGTTGTTGCAGATAAGTATTTAAAACAATAGAAATGTAAAATCAGTACATATTTAAGAAGTTTACATTGTATCTCAATCTTATGTGTATTTATGTGTTTATTATTGTAGGGATCAGGAAAAGACACTCATGTAATCATATGTTTTGCTTTTCCATAATCCTCATTTTGTGGGGGCAGATGATACTTTGATATACTCTTGGGGAATCTAACTGGGTTTATTTCAGATATTAAAATAGTTACTTATAGTTAGTGAAGATGTGAAAAATGAAAATAATTTTCTTCCTTGGCTCTGAGAGATAGATTTAGAAACAAAGGGCTGGATTTATTTTAACTAACAGGATTTTTTTGTTTTGTTTGTTTTGGAATTCTATTCTGTTGTCCTTTTAATGGATCCATAATCCACCTCTTCTTCTCTAGTTATATTCTACTCTGAAAGAAGGCAACCCACCCTGGGAGGTGACAGAAGCGGTTCTCTTTATCATGGCTGCTATAGCAAAGAGTGTTGATCCGTGAGTGTCTAAATAAGTCTTTTGCTGGGAACTCTAAATATGAAAGGAAGGAAAATTACATCATTTTTCCTCATATGGTATATGTTTGGAAACTCTTAAAACGTCTTACATCTGTAATACTGCCTAGTCTTCTGACTTCTAGAGTCTGTTCCAGAGTAGCATGCATTGCTGATATCCATTTTTTTAAACTATATTTCCATGAATTAAAATTATTTTGTTCTTGATGCTAAGAAGGTAATGCTGATTTATCTTTCGAACTGAGGCTCCCCTGTGAAAGTTGATACAATAAAAAATTTGTTAGGCTGTTAAATTGTCGGTACTTGCTTAAAAGCAGTTGAATAGGCACTAATTAGCTCTCATCTCATTTGGACCTTGGTAAGTTATCCTTACAAATATTTCATTATATTGTTCTCCTTTTCATCTGCCTTAGAGAATCATTTGTGAGTTTGAGAGGCAAGAGAGGCACCATTTCGCCCTAAAAGAGTAGCAAAATCTAAGGGGCAATTATTAGTTTTGTTATTGCCATGGGAAATTTTAAGTTATTAGAATTTGATTTCTACTTGAATAGCATAGAAATTCTATTTATGATTTTAACATGAATTCCTAAAGACAGAATTTTCTTTGTGATGTGAATTTATAAATTGATGCTAATATATATCAAGTTTTCCTGTTGTGATCAGATACCTGCAATCAAGCCCTATCCCATGCCTTGGTTGGAGAGATAGTTAAGGTATCTATTTATGAAAAGTATAGTGCTTTCTTAGCTGCCTTTCAGGGTTTAGTCAATGAAGTCTTACATGTTTCTAATCCAGTAAATACTCAAGGAGATAGAGTAGGGTTTTTTTCTCTATTAAAATGCACTGGTCCTAAATTACAGATCATACTGTTTGCTCTTAAATTTGTTTTGGTATCTTTTGGAACCTTCAATGATAGTCTGAAGATTATTAAAATCACTAATATTCTAACTGATATGTGTTGGTGTGAAAAGAGGTGGGTAGAGAGTCTCAAAAATTAGTGCTCTCAGGAAACAAGGCATAAGCGAGAAATTTTATGTTGTTTTTTGTTTATCCACATTTCAGGCAAACTGTGTGATTACAATTTTTTAGTGTACACAAAGGACTTAGTTTATCAACACAGAGTGCTTTTGCTCTAATCCAGGACATTATTTGGATTTTAAACATCTTTTGTTTCTGGATTATATCCTACCACTGTGGGGTGGAAGGAAATAAAGAATTTCAGCCAGTATTCTTGTGGAGTGGAAAAAGATAAGGAAAGGGGAAAAATAAATTCATGGAGCCATGGAGAATATTTGGTTAGCTTTAATTTTCCCTTATGTTCCAAGTCACACATTTATCTATTTCTGCAGCTTGTTTTCTTGTTCCTTTAGTTAGTGAGCTGGCCCACCCATACTTACCTGTTCTTAAAGTTTCCAGTATCCAGCTATAAGAAATCTTTGGAGAAGAACTAATAGCAAGTGGTCTATTCATTCATTCATTTAGCCATTCAGGAATATTTATTGAGTGCCCACTATGTGCCAGGCACTGTTCTAGGTACTGCAGTTACAAGAATAACTAAAATGGATTCTTTAAGAGAAGACATTCATCCACAGTAAATACCTGCCTCTCCAATTTGAAGAGTCTTATTTGATAGCAGGATGTGTCTTTAGATACTTTACTGGCATTTAGAAGATTAAGGAGCAGTATGCTCCTCCTGAAACAATATCTTCTATTTCTGTCTTTTTGCCTCTTTTTGAATATTTAAAAAACTTTCATACCAAATATTAAGCACTTTCATCCAAATGGTTATATGTTGGGATCCCTGGGTGGCGCAGTGGTTTTGCGCCTGCCTTTGGCCCAGGGCGCGATCCTGGAGACCCGGGATCGAATCCCATGTCAGGCTCCCGGTGCATGGAGCCTGCTTCTCCCTCTGCCTATGTCTCTGCCTCTCTCTCTCTCTCTCTCTCTCTCTCTCTCTGTGTGTGTGTGTGTGTGTGTGACTATCATAAATAAATAAAAAATAAAAAAAAACAAATGGTTATATGTTTAGAAAAAAGCCCTTTAGCAATGATTTATCTCCTTGCAGCCTGTTATTAGGCCAGAATCTAACCTTTGAAATCAGTAACTATGAATACTTGCTTTTTGTACTCAGGGAGAACAATCCAACACTTGTGGAGGTCCTAGAAGGAGTTGTCCGTCTTCCAGAGACTGTACATACAGCTGTGCGATATACCAGCATTGAATTGGTTGGAGAGATGAGCGAAGTGGTTGATCGAAATCCTCAATTTCTTGGTATGTGTGAACTTACTCCTCTGCAGCTACTGTGTCAGATTTTTCTGATTTTGTTCTTCCTCTCTTACTTTTGCTCTTGTCTTGCTTTCTATTTTTATTTGTAGGTAGAATGTTTCTAGACACTAAGAGTAAATATTATGAGATTGCTTAGTTGACACAACATTTATAATCCATACTTTGGAGAAAGAATCTTTGAAAGATTAGATTTTTAGATAGGGAAACAGTTTGCTTATAGTAGTCTGCTTTGGCATGAACATTTCTGTCTGTTAGTCTTTGGCACATGGTTGAGCTAATCAGATTTGCCTGTAGTTCTAACTTTTTTTTTTTTTGTAGTTCTAACTTAGTGTTAATAGGCTAAAGCAAAGGAAAGGTTTTTTAAATTTTATTTTTATTTATTTAATCATAAGAGATAGAGAGAGAGAGAGATAGAGACAGAGGCACAGGCAGAGGGAGAAGCAGGCTCCATGCGGGAGAGCCTGACGTGGGACTCGATCCTGGGTCTCTAGTATCACGCCCTGGGATGAAAGTGGCGCTAAAGTGCTGAACCACTGGGGCTCCCCAAAGGTTATTTTACAGTGTTAAATACATGATCCTTTTAAAAATCAAGAATTATCATTTGAAACAAAATAAGTTCAGATTAAAATGAAGAATGTTGAATTATATAACCTCTAGATGCGCTTATTGGCCTGAAAAAAATAAATATTATAGTAGAAATCATTTCTTTTATCCCTCTCATTTTGCAAATAAATTCAAAAAGACTAAATAATTTATCTTGGATAATATTAAGCCCCCCTGCTATTCAGGAGTGATATATTCTGAGAATTTTAAGAACCCCCAAACTTGTGAATATCATTAATTATATTATTAAGTTTGATGTATTTTCTATGCTTATATTACCACCTTTTAGAAAAAACTCTAGTAAACAAACAGTGTTATATTAGTTTCAGGTGTACAAAGTAGTGATTAACAGTTCTCTGCATTACTTGGTGCTCATCAAGATACATGTACTCTTAATCCCCTTCACCTATTTCACCCATCCCTCTACCCAACCCACTTCTGGTGACCATCAGTTTGCTCTCTGTAGTTAAGAGTCTGGTTTTGGTTGTTTTGTTTTTTCTTTGTTTTGTTTCTTAAATATATGGAACTTAAATTCCATATATGAGTGAAATTATATGGTATTTCTCTTCTCTGATTTACTTAGCATTATACTCTTTAGATCCATACATGTTGCATGTGGTAAGACTATTCATTTATGGCTGAGTAATATTTGTGTGTGTGTGTGTGTGTGTGTGTGTGTGTACCCCCTTTTTTTATCCATTCATCTGTCGATGGACATTTGGGTTGCTTCCATAATTTGGCTATTATAAATAATGCTGCATTAAACAGGGGTGCATATATCTCTTTGAATTAGTGTTTTCATATTCTTTGAGTGAATAAGCAGTAGTGGAATTACTGAATTATACATTTATTACCACCTTTCAGCTTGATTTTATTTTATATATACTTTATTGTTTGAAACTCTTGCTTAAGAAGTGATGTTTCTTTTTTCTTATTTCTGTATACAGAGCATATGACAGACATGCTCACATTATAGCTGAAACATTTTCAAATTCAAGATATCATTTAAATTTAAAAAATACCTATTTTCTAATTCTTTTTTTTTTTTTTTTAAGATTTTATTTATTTATTCATTAGGGACACAGAGAGAGAGAGAGGCAGAGACATAGGCAGGGGGAGAAGCAGGCTCCCCTCAGGGAGCCCGATGTGGGACTCGATCCCTGAACTCCAGGATCATGCCCTGAGATGAAAGCAGAGCTTAACTGCTGAGCCATCCAGGCATCCCAGCCTATTTTGTAATAGGTTTTCTAATAGATTAGATTTCTCCACATCTATTACCTGTCTCAACATTTGGCTTGCTTTTCTGAATGATTTTTCCACAAGAAACAAAGTGGGTTTGTTTGTTAAGATTTATCATTCACTATCACCTTGCATTATTTTATTCAAATAAACTTCAACACTGTGACAGATTGCTTCATGCTCATATTTACTTTAGAATAGTTAAAACACAGGATGCCTGGGTGGCTCAGTGGTTGAACGAATGCCTTTGGCTCAGGTTGTGATCCCAGGCTCCTTGCAGGGAATCTTCTTCCTCTGCCTATGTCTCTGCCTCTCTCTGTGTCTCTCAGGAATAAATAAAATCTAAAACATTAAAAAAAAAGGATAGTTAAAACAATAAATATTCCATTTGAGAATCACAAGCCTGCAGTATTATAGTTGCTTATACTTTGTTTTTCTGATTCTTAGGCTTAAAAGTTTTTAGTCATCTTTTGTGGAGGGGTTGGTGCATCATATCAGTCATTAGACTGGAAATGAAGATAATGTTTAAATGTGCTTTAAGATACTATTATTTTGATTCCTTTTATGGTTTGGTATGAAGTTAGAGTATAAAGTACTCACAAAGTTATTTTTAGTCATATGTGATTTTCCCATAGAAAATCATTCTGAGGGCATCTGGGTGGCTCAGTCGGTTAAGTGTATGCCTTCAGCTCAGGTCACAATCCCAAAGTCCTGGGATCAATCCCTGCATCTGGCTCCCTGCTCAGTGGGGAGTGTGCTTCTCCCTCTAACCTCTACCCCTACCCCTCTTCTCGTGTGCTCTCTGTCTCTCTCTCTCTCTCTCTCTCTCTCTCAGATAAATAAAAACTTAAAAAACATTGTGATTTTTACAAAGTAAGGTAAAAGATAATATAATTTTTTTATAGAAATTCACCTTTATAATTAGTTTCTTTGGCACAATTATATTTGCCACAAAGTAAAACAATTTTTCTAGAAGTGCTAAAGCTCAATCTATGTGTTTTTAAAGCCTTTTCTGACTATAAGGAAGGAAGTATAGGGGTGCCTGGGTGGCTCAGACAGTTAAGCGTCTGCCTTCAGCTCAGGTAATAATCCCAAGGTTCTGGGTTCGAGCCCCACATCAGGCTCCTTGCTCAGCAGAGAGCCTGCTTCTGCCTTTGCATGCTGTTCCCCCTGCTTGTGCACACACTCTGACAAATAAATAAAATCTTTAAAAAAAAAAAAAAAGGGAAGCAAGTATAAAAGTGTCCACTTTAGAGAACCGTCATTGTCTTGATTAACATAGGCTGTTTTTACATAGTGACTCATCTCTGAGTATAAATAATGGTAGCTCTCTGAGCTTCATATTCTTTTTTATATTGCCGTATTCTTAATACTTGTATGGTCTTATCCACCAGTGGTTTTTAAATTGTACTGTGTGAAGGCCTAGCCATGAGGAAAGAATTAGAAGGTGAATAGCTAGTACCCAAGGCTCCCTTACACTATGTCAGTGAGATCAGCTCCTTTTGTATGTCTTATATATTGGAGTTTGAACACATTTCGTTTTCTAAGATGGTTCTTTTGCTTAAAAGGGGGGAAGGGGGCAGGGATATAAACCTCTGTTGTAAGAAATTAGAAGTTTTCCTTGAGTTTCAGATATGTAATCTCTATTGTGTGGTTTCTTTGTTAGATCCTGTGTTGGGCTATTTGATGAAGGGCCTGTGTGAAAAGCCTCTGGCTTCTGCTGCAGCCAAAGCCATTCATAACATTTGCTCTGTCTGCCGAGACCACATGGCTCAGCACTTTAATGGACTCCTGGAGATTGCCCGTTCCCTTGATTCCTTCATGTTGTCTCCAGAAGCTGCTGTGGGCTTGCTAAAAGGTATTTACTTCAGATGATAACCAATAACATCTCTAAGTCACTTCTGGGGATTATCTTCTACTAGTGACATCCCAGGTTTTCAGTTGCAGCATGCTTAGTGATGGACAAAGTTTGCCATTCCACTCAGGAGGGTGTTGATTATATATAGATGCATTCTTTAGAATATTTTAAGGCTATATAACTAATTCAAACTGCTTACAGTGTGTGTAGCACAGACCTAGAACCTAGATTTTGGGTTGGCAGTGACACATTTGAACTAAACATAGTTTCTTTTTGAGTTGGGGGAAGAATAAAAAAGACCAAATAGCATTGCCATACCAAAGCGGTAGTTGGAAATGGAAAGATAGTGTGTGATCAGTCCTGTCAGTAGAAACTTGGTCTCTTACTGGTCTTTAACCATTATGCATCAGCTTTACTTTCAGTGATTGCCTGTCTAGAGGCAAGGAGCCAGAGTGATGATGAAGTTCAGAGGAAGAGGAACTAGAGATATTAAAGCTAGGGAAGAAAAGACAAGAGACTTTAGCATGGTGGCTATTTTTAAATATTTGAAAGATTGTCCTATAAAAGAGGAAAAAGTTTATTTTATGAATAGGAGTTAGTTGTTGACATGTACTGGCTGTTAGAAAACACTTGAAGCTAAACTCTGAAACTATTGGGGTACCCTGTGAAGTGGTGAAATCCTATAGCTGATAAATAGAGGGAATTGAGGGTATATCAAATAAAAGATTGGGTAATACAACCTGTGTGGCATTATTTAAGCCTCTGTGAGTAAAAAACAAGTTAGTCTTGGCTAAGTTGGATGACCTTGTCTGTGAACTAAATGTTGTTATATTTATGACCAAGTTCCTTTCCAGCTAGTATATTTGCTGTTGTTGTTTCCCTTCATAGGCATAGATAATAAGGCATTGAAACAGAATCAAATATTCTTACTACTTAACTACTGAATTAAAAGGAAAAATCCTATTTAAGTTAAATTCCTCCCTCTGATTTTAAATAGGTCTAACTCATCCATGACTTATAGATTACCAGGAGAAATCATTTAGTTTTTTAATTCACATTTGAAGACTTATGGATTGATAACTGTTCTGTTGAATGAAATTTTGGGAGATTAGAAAAATCATAGTCCTGGATTTTTTTTTTTTTTTTTTTTACCTTGGAAAGGAACTAGGCTAATATGTAATTCTTTGGCTCTAAGGGGAGATGCTTTAGCATTTGATGAGGATTGTGACAAGAGGAAGGCTGAGTGAGAAGGGTTTGGGCCTTCTGTTCCCATTTTAAGCTAGGTACTTTTTTTTTTTAACCTATTGGCATTCCAACTTAAGATTTTATTTAATAAAAAAAGAGATGGGGGGAGACTTTTGCAACTATTTAAAAAATGAAAGAAAGGCAAACTTAACTTATTCTTCTGTTCAGAGCACTTATTTTACAGGCCCAAAGATCATACCTTACCTAACTCATAGATTCTGTTATGGTATAACTAGAATCAGACCTCTTAGGAAAAAACTGTCTCTGTTTCTCAAATTTATCTCATGAAAAGAATTGCCTACAGTACTTATCAAAAATAAAGGCTTTCCTTGACCTGCTAGATCAGAACGTCTGGGAAGTTTGAGAACCATTTTACTATGCTATATAAAAATAGCTTTGATACTGGCTTTGTGAGGAATTTTTTTAAAGTATTTGAAGAATTGGAAGGGGAGTTGTATTTAAACATCTTTAAACCCATAGGCTGAGGAGAGAGAATTTAATATTAACTTCAGTTGTGAATGTTAAGTGAAAGTGATTTCCTTGTCTAAGCCAAATAAAGAGAAACTAACCTAAATAACAAAATACTATAACTGAAAAAATAGTGCTGATCTTTTGAAAAGAATAAAACCAGCCAGCCTCTTCTCATAGCCAACTGATAGAGATCAATGAATTCCCTCAGTTGAACTTTTGTTTTATTTGTATTTTTCTTTGTCTTGCAGGGACAGCACTTGTCCTAGCCAGATTACCTTTGGATAAGATTACTGAATGCCTTAGTGAACTATGTTCTGTTCAGGTTATGGCATTGAAAAAGGTGAGTCCCAATTAAATAAGGGGCTTAGTGTGTGTGTGTGTGTGTGTGTGTGTGTGTGTGTGTGTGTGTGTGTGTGTGTGTAATGCTTACATGTTAGAAAGGAAAAGACGAAATTATATATTTACAGGTGATCTTTTATTTATGTATAGACAAGCCAAGAGAATGAACTAAAAAGTTACTAAAATTAGACAGGGGTGCCTGGCTCAGTTGGTTAAGTGTCTGCCTTTGACTCAGGTCATGATCCCAGCCTCCTGGGATCAAGTCTTCCATCAGGCTCCCTGCTCAGTGGGAAACCTGCTTCTCCACCTCCTTCTGCCTGCCACTCCAAGCACACAGAGAGTGTGCTTGCACTCTCTGTCAAATAAATAAAATCTTTTTAAAAAAATAAATAATAAAATTAATAAGTCTATCAAAGAAGCTGCATCCATGGTTTATTCTAAAATCAGTAGATTTTCACTATCAGTAATACCAGCTCTTCTCAAGTTACACTTGTAGTGCAGTAATAGAAGAATTTGACATAATGATTCTAAAGTTTATCTCTAATGATATCCTGCTAGAACTATTTAAGAAGTTTTAGGAAAGAATAAGAGGCAACTTACTTTATCTCTTAAAATATATTATGAAAAAAATATATATTATGAAGCCTTAGTCATTTTGAAGTGTTGTAACAGAAAGTGAAATAAAAATATGGATTATATAATAATGTTGTGTATGATCTGTATTATATAATGCATATAATGTCTTGGTATTATAAAAGTAAATGGTGGAAAAATAATACTGTTTTTCCACACCACAATGATCATATAGTAAAATGTTGTAATATGTAGTCTTGGCCATGATGCAGTAAGATAAAGGAAAGTAATTTGACAATATGAATTTAAAAGTAGTAACTATTGGGAATCTCTTATAAGGAAATAAGCAGAGATTGGGAGGGAGGTTGATGTATAGGGATGTATGTTGCAGTGTTTGCTGTAGGTATGTATGTGTAACAACAGAGTTTTATTATCTCTCTGTCTCTTCAGCTGTTGTCTCAGGAGCCCAGCAATGGCATATCCTCAGATCCCACTGTGTTCTTAGATCGCCTTGCAGTAATATTTAGGTAAGAAGGGAGACTGGTTGCCTGATTTGGGTTAACAGCTCAAATAAGACCATTATGTATTTTAAAAAGCATGTGTTTTTTCCGTAAACTTCCAAGTACTTCCTGTCATCTCTTCTGTTAGGAGACTGATAAGCCCATTACTGGAAATTTGGTGCAAAGACAAATTCTAAGACTTTATTCTTGATAGACCTTTGTCAAAAGATACTTTAAAATGTAATTAATTTTTTTAATCTCTAGATTGGTGATTATCAGACTTTAACATGCATAACAGCCATGTTATGAAATGGGTATCAAATGGGAGGGCTTATCAAAACAGATTGCTGGGTTCCATCCCCAGAGTATGATTCAGTTGGATTTGGGGTAGGATCCAATAATTTACATTTCTAATAAGTTCCCATGTGATGCTGTCATTGCTGCTTGCTATTCCAAGGATCACACTCCAGAACTGTTGCTGTGTATTGTAGGGGTGCAAAAAAATAATAAAGCCTTTTCATTGATCAGGTGAAATTAATCCTTCTTTGAAGTTCAAGGGAATCCTAATGATTAAAAAAAAATTTGAGTGACAGTGTTCAGAGTGATCCTTCCTGAGTTACATAATTTATTATTTGTCAGACCCATAGATATAAGTGGAATATTAGAGTAGTTGTGTAAAAGCCTATGTGGAATAAGTTAAAACTGAGGTGTTTTAGCTTATTTGTTCAACAGGTGTTTTGTTTTGTTTTTTTTTAATTTGGTGCAGTGTTTTTCTTTCTTTCTTTCTTTTTTTTTTTTAAGATTTTATTTATTTATTCATGAGAGACACAGAAAGAGAGAGGCAGAGACACAGGCAGAGGGAGAAGCAGGCTCCATGCAGAGTCTGATGTGGGACTTGATCCCGGGACTCCAGGATCAAGCCCTGGGCTGAAGGCAGGCGCTAAACCGCTGAGCCACCTAGGGATCCCCGGTGCAGTGTTTTTCTTGTATAATTATGATAGCCCTGTTACCTGACATTCTGAAAGTCCAGCCAGCAGTCCTTATTTCACAATAAATGGAATATCTGCAATAGATGGAAATCCCCCAATTTAAAGAAAATGAAATTTTTTAAAAAATTAAGATGCTGTTGAGTTTCTTGAAATTCAAGAATTTCTTTCCTTTAAAGAGGTTGGTAATCATACAGGGTTTTGTTTTGTTTTGTTTTTCCTGCTTTCTTTCAAATTAGTGGATTCTAGAACTAGAAAAGTATTTGGATTTGGCATATTGTGAGTGGGCCCATATTATATATCATTGGGTTCTGACTACAGCCATGAAAAACATATTGGGTAGGCTAGAATTTTTAAAGCTTTTGCCTTTTAAAGCTGAGACTGGAGCAGTACTTGGTTTCTTATAGTGGATTGAGACAACCTGGTTTTTAATTAATATTTTTTATTAATTTGGAAAAGTCTACATTTCTGGTTTTTAAAGAGAAAAAAATGAAAAAGATAATTATAGTGCTCCACAGCCCATGTAAGCCAGAGTTAGATTGAGTTGGCATATTCTAGTGGAAGTGGCTTAAAGGTGACCAAAAAAACAGCACAAGGGATGATTTAAACTATGTGCTTGTGTTTGTTTGACTAGAATAGAAGGAAAAGGTATTGAGTCATAAATAAGTTTATTATTTGGTATTCTTTATGTGATGACAGTGTTACTAAGTAAGCCAGCAGGATTCAGAGCTATGGCTCTTCAGTTAAGTTGCTCTTTTAATATTTTGGGTTGTTGTCTTTCCCCAGACACACCAATCCCATTGTGGAAAATGGACAAACTCATCCTTGCCAAAAAGTCATACAGGAAGTAAGTGCTTAACATGCCTGTGAAACAAGGCTTCCTTCCTTTTTCCTTATAAGGCTGTGGGTAACTAAAATGAGAAGATACTGTCTTTTAGGCTCACAGGAAGATTCAGTTTGTTGATACAGTTTAAGTTTCAATGAATAGAAGAGAGAACCATTCAAATAAATATTTTTTACTATAGATTTGATAAGAAAACAGACTGTGGGGAAATGTACTCAAAGCCCAGAGAAGTAGAAAGAGATTATCTATGTGAATCCTAGAGTTGCTAGGAGTAGGAGACCTGTGTAATACTAGCAAAATTTTTTTGACAAAGCCATTTATCCCTCATGGCTTTTGTTTCCCCAATGTAAATGTCCTTTTGCTTTTTTCACTGACAGTAATATGAGGATCAAAAGGCATGTTTTGAGAAGTGCTTTTCAGGCTTCAGTGGGAAATCTCCAAGTATACATTAGTGTTTGACAGTATCAGATAATCCCATTTCATTAGCTCCAGCCCTTTTGTTCAAAGTATTCCAACTCACAACTGTCTGTAAACATCTCTTCCTCTGTAACTCATACTAATTCTTTTCATCCTGAATTAGGAAGTCCAAAGTTTATCTTTTAGGGAAGTTAGTCATGCTTCTCTTCCTGTTCTATAGAGTCACTATGCTTCTCTTAAGAAGTGGTTGTGTTTTAGTGTTGGATAATGTATTGACCCTCTACATACTCAGATGCATGTGTGCACTCATGCACACAGATTGAGGCCACATGTTTTTCTATAAAGAAAGCTTTTTCCAAATTATTTGAAAACCAAATTAGATGTTACCAACTTGGAGCATTTTTTTCATCTCTTAATTGTTCATTGTTTTCTTTCTTGTGCTCTTTGACTTTTGACTCAGATATGGCCAGTTTTATCTGAGACTCTAAATAAACACCGGGCTGATAATCGGATTGTAGAGCGTTGTTGCAGGTGCCTCCGCTTTGCTGTTCGCTGTGTAGGCAAAGGATCTGCAGCCCTGCTGCAGCCACTAGTTACACAGGTAAGTTCTTCCTGAGAGGGAAAATGTACAGTGTATAGAATTTGAAGTAGGAGTCTTCACTTTTTTTTTTTTTAAGATTTATTTATTTGGGGGATGAGGAGAGAGAGAGAGGAGCATGAGCAAGGAGGAGGGGCAGAGAGAGAGGGAGAAGGAGAGAGCCTGACATAGGGCTTGATTCCAGGACCCTGAGATCATGACTTGAGCCGAAGGCAGATGCTTAACTGTCTGAGCCCCCAAGTGCCCCTGAAATAGGACAAAAATTTTGCTGATGAAATGGAATACTTGTGTTTATTAAATACAAACTCCAAAATATTTGAAGGAGATAAGTAGTACCTATGGTATGTTGTCTCTGAGGGAAACAGCCTATAATCTATTCTGTATAGTGAGAGTCTAAATAGTAACACATTCTGGCATGAAATTAGGAAGAGAATGACTTTAATGCTCAGCTTTCATGTACTAGCACTAAGCATTTTATACTAATTTTTCTTTTTAAAATGTGTTATGTCAAATTTTGCCATTTCTTGGCCCAAAGGAATTTTTTTCTAACTTGACCAGATTTGGTCACATAAGTCTGTTATTTGTCAAGAAATGTTTGACTCTTTTATAATCACCAAGATTGATACGCAATTATGATGGTGTGACTCACTGTATGAGGTTCTGTAAGATCACATTCACATCAAGAACTACTCTATATGAGATGCCTGTAATTAGTGACTGAAATCACTAAGTAATTTGATGTTAACCTTATAGCAGAGCCAGGACCAGATTGAAGAAAGGCACAAAATTGAAAGGCAAGGCAAAGTGTCAGCCTTGGTGTTTACAGGACTTGGAGTAAAGTGCCTTCTTAAGTTTTGCATCCATGCATTGAGGGAAAATGCACAGCTCCAGGTTGGGCCACCTCCTCAGCCTGAAGTGACCCTTCTCTACCTAGACAGTGTATCCATGATGCAGATTTTAAGGAGTTAAATATTCTGGGGAGCTGACCCTGACAGTGAGTGCCTCCTTAAATTCTGCACCCTGGTGCCTCATTCCTTTTTTTTTTTTCTTTTTAAAATTGTATTTCTTAAGTAAGCTCTACACCAAGTGTGGGGCTCGGACTCACAACCCTGAGATCAAGAGTTGGATGCTCCACTGACTGAGCCAGCCAGGCACCCTTGGGTACCTCAATCATAAGGAAGCACTCACCTTCAAGTAGGATCATGCTAGTGAAGTATCAGTTGGCATATGCACAGCCCTGCCTTCTTTATATTGTAGATTAGCTTAAAGTTTACATTTACTATACCCTGAGGACACTGTATATTTGTACTGCATGTATTTCCATCTTCAGTATGTATCCCCCTCAATGTAATACATTCTGGATCAAATGTAACTTATTTTAATGCCTCTTTGCTGTTAGAGGATACCCTCATGACTTTGTTTTTTTGTTGTTGTTGTTTTGTTTTGTTTTGTTTTTATTCCTGCTGATTATGTGACCAACCCAATAGAGTAGCACCTTGTATAGGAAGTGTGTTCTAAAATCAGTACACGTGAAAAAATGAAAAGTATTTTTTTAAATCCAAATTTCAGAAGTCAGTAAACCAGAACTATAATTGGCCTGTCACCTAGTTTTGTAAATATAGTTTTCTTAGAGATTGCCATGCTTATTCATTTAAGTATTCTGTATTGGCCATTTTTGTGCTACGGTGGCAAAGTTGAGTAGACAGGGCAGCCCTGGTGGCTCAGCGGTTTAAGCGCCGCCTTCAGGGCATGATCCTGGAGACCCGGGATCAAGTCCCACACCAGGCTTCCTGCATGGAGCCTGCTTCTCCCTCTGCCTCTCTCTCTCTCTGTGTCTCTCATGAATAAATAAATAAAATCTTAAAAAAAAAAAAAAGTTGAGTAGACAGATCATATGGCCAACAAAGTCTAAAATTTTTACTATCTGGCCCTTTAAGAAAAAGTTTACCATGGGATCCCTGGGTGGCTCAGCAGTTTAGTGCCGCCTTTGACCCGGGACGTGATACTGAAGACCCATACTGGAGACCCGGGATCAAATCCCACTTCAGGCTCCCTGCATGGAGCCTGCTTCTCCCTCTGCCTATGTCTCTGCCTCTCTCTCTCTCTCTTCTCTCTCTCATGAATAAATAAATAAAATCTCTAAAAAAAAAAAAGTTTACCAGCTCATGACTTCAATCATTCAAGTAGGGCATATAGTTTTGAGTATACAACACCAAACAGATTCATAGCTCCCATCATAGCCCATTCTATGGTATATGTTGATAAGAGTCAGTCACTTGTCTTTCAGCCCCCACCACATTCATTGAGATAAATTTATATAATAAAACCAATACACTTAGTTATACGTCCAACTCTTGATTTTAGCTCAGGTCTTGATCTCAGGATTCTAAGTTCAAGCCCTATGTTTGGCTCCACACTGGGCATGAAACCTACTTAAAAAATCAATACATGTGTTGTAATGGCATTTTATTTTATTTTATTTATTTATTTATTTATTTAATTTTATTTTATGTTATTTTATTTTAGATATTATTTATTTATTCATGAGAGACAGAGGCAGAGACATAGAGGGAGAAGCAGGCTCCCTGCAGGGAGCCTAATGCTGGGACTTGATCCCAGGACCCCGGGAGGATGATACTCAACTGCTGAGCCACCTAGGTGCCCCTGTAATGGCATTTTAAATAGATGAATATATAGATACCTTTTAATTTTTGGAGGAGAGTAGGGGGAAAACCCTAAACAAATCATTTAACTCAGGTATATATATTAACATTTTTATTCTCTTGAGATCCAGTTATCTTGATTAGAAACACTGTTTTTTACTGAAAAGTTTAAATAGAAGGGTTTAGGAGCCACTCAGAATTTAAACAGTGCTTTCACAGTCTCTTTCAGGATGAGAATAGTAGGCATTTTTAGCCCTGCTATAGCTATATATGCTTTTTTTTTTAAGAGTTAATCTTTAATGCAAATAAGAACAACCTTTAAGTTGTTAGGATATATGCTAGGATTTTGGAAATATATTGGATTCTAGCATCCTAATGGCTTCCAGCTTGAAGTATTATCAGCTCTCTTAAAATATTGTTTTGGGAAGATAAATGTCAAAGGCATAAAAGGACTCCAAAGAGAGTACTGGAAAATTATTGAAGAATTGAGCCCTCTCTTTGAAAAAATGTAGCCAGCAAGCTCTACAGTGTTGTCTCAAAGAGAAGAAACCAGTCTGTCTCTGAATTTCTTCATCTAAACAGTTTCCTAAGTTAATACTTTTTGGGGAGTAAAGAATTGAACTAACTGGTTTTTCCCTTGGCAGATGGTGAATGTATACCACGTACATCAGCATTCCTGTTTCCTGTACCTTGGCAGTATCCTCGTGGATGAATATGGCATGGAAGAGGGCTGTCGGCAGGGACTCCTAGACATGCTCCAGGTCTGTTTTTCTTGGGGAGTTTCTTGGAGGGACTAAAGGCTTAGCAGTTTGTTCTTCACCATGTTTTGAATTCTCTTGCTTCTCTGTGTTTATCCTCCAGGCATATTGATTACCTAATAACAGGGAGGTAGAAACTTTCTAGTTACTCTCTGGACAGTCATGCCTGGGAGAATGAGAGAGAGATTGGCCATATGAATGTAAGGATCAGGGGCACCTAATAATCTAGTACATAAGCAGTCTTACTTTCAGAAAGTTCTAAATTTTTTTAGAGAGCTAGCTGGGGGAAGGTGCGGGTGTGGGCAGAGGAAGACAGAATCTTAAGCAGTCTCCATGCCCACCATTGAGCTCAACACAGGGTTTGCTCTTATGACCCTGAGGTTATAACCTGAGCCAAAATCAAAAGTTAAATGCTCAACTGACTAAGCCACTCCAGTGCCCCCAGAAACTTCTAAAACTTTGAGATGACATCTATCTAGTTTCATCAACTAAAATTTATACCCTCAACCCTATCTGAAATATGCACTTCATATGTGAAAACTACATCAACTGAGAAAGATTTCTCTCTTCCTTTTCTTGATCTAATTCTCCTCAGAGTGTTTTTCTTTTCCCATCTGTACTTCCCCCACTTTGTTCCTTTTGTGTATGTTGTGATATTTAGCAAGTCTGAATGCTGTTGGATTTATGTACTAGCACTTATTTAAAATCTCTATTCTGTTTTAGGCACTGTGCATCCCTACCTTTCAGCTGCTGGAACAGCAGAATGGGCTCCAGAATCACCCTGACACTGTGGATGATCTGTTCAGGCTGGCCACCAGGTCAGTCCTTCTGAAGAGCAACCCTTACTTTATTGCTTATCCCCATCACTGCTTAGTCTTGTCATATAACACTTGATTGCTTCTCTATAAAATGAGGTTAGTGGAGTATAGGTAGGTTAATGATTCCTAGCCCAAAGTTAAATATGAACTGGAATATCCCTGTAAGTGAGGAAGAGGAGTTGGATGGGAGTGGGGGAAAGCAGCTGGGTTTCTATAACAAAGGAGGGAACACTCACAAGACAATAAAACCAGCTTGGCAAAAAACATTTGACTAGAAAACCTCTAGAATCCCCTCTAGTTTTAACTTTCTGTGCTGCTATGATGACTTGCTTCACTTCAGCTTTTTCCTTTAGGAGGCTTGGCATCTTTTAGATAAAATCATATTTCAGAGTAAAAAGTTTTTAAGATTTTAAGGTGCCTTAGAAATTAACTTGTTCTGCACTTTCTGGTTCTACCCTCAGCTTTCCACCCCAGTTACTGCTTAAATTCCTTCTACCAGTAACACTGACTATATTATTGCCAAACCTTTGAATTCCTTCTTTAGTCCCTAGGTAAGGAATTTGAACCAAAGCAGTAGTGAACATAAAAGCATTTAAAAATTATTTAAAATAGATTATTATATGTAATTATACATTTAATATATATCACTTACAATTGCAAAATAGTACTGACTGTTTCAGGATTGACTATTGAACGCTTTTTTGGTTAGTTTTTGGACAAGTTAGAAACACCTTTGTTTTTGTTGTTGTCATCATTGATATGAGAGAACTGTTGGGTAGGCTCTCTAGTCTCTGCTTTCCCACTGTGTGTTCCTTGAAAAACTGATCCCCAGAGATGCTCTTTGCACAAATAAGCATGGTAAAGTAAATTTGGAAAATATTGTGTCTTTTTTGCAGAGATTCTCCACGTACATTAAAGGGTCTGAGAAATCTCATGTGATATTAAGTGGAAAGTTTAGAGAGTTCCCATATACCCCCTGCCCCATACCACCCCACGCCTCCCTCAAAGTCCATAGTTTACATTAGGGTTTAGTCTTGGTAGTGTACCTTCTGTGGGTTTGGACAAATGTATAATGACATGTATCTACCATTTTCATATGAAATAGTTTTAATATCCTGAAAATTACTGTGTTCTACCTGTTGAGTCCTCCCTTACCCTTTGATGGCTAGCAACCACTGATCTTTTTACTGTCTCTATTCATAGTTTTGCCTTTTACTCTGGTTGCTTGTAGAGCCTAATCCTGTCATTTATACCTACCCTATCTTTCTACACCAGGTTTATTCAGCGTAGCCCTGTTACCTTGCTGAGAAGCCAAGTGGTCATCCCTATCTTACAGTGGGCCATTGCCTCTACTACCCTGGACCACCGGGATGCCAATTGCAGTGTCATGAGGTTCCTACGAGACCTTATCCATACAGGGGTAGCCAATGATGTAAGTATAAACATTGTACTTTATTTTGCAGCTCACTGCCTTTTTTATATCTCTTCTTCATTTCTTAGGGGAAAACCAGATTCTCCTTATTTGATATGTATTGGTAGGTACATACTGTTCACTAACCAAAACATTATTAGATTTAAGATAGACTCTACTAAGTGCTGTAAGCTACATAAAACAGTCTAAAAATATTTCTACTTCCATGTTATTTAGGTTTGGCTGAAGAGATAAATAAATATATAGATTTAAATAACAAAAGAAAAGCAGTATTTGATTGCCAGATGACTAATAAAAGTCATGATTGCCGTGAGATCAGAGGAGGGAAAGCTCTTTAGTCAGAAGTGGGTTGGGATTAGTTTCTGGAAGAAGCAGGACCTCAGTGCAACCGTCAGATATAGATAGAATTTGGATGGATTAGAGAGGGGGAGGGTAGTCTTAATTGGGGCATTAATATAGCCAGAGAAAGTCAGGATAGTACTAAGTATGTTAGACAATCAAAAGACCTGTTTGGCTGGAGTATATAATGGCTCACAAAATTTTCAAAGGTAGATTTGGCTAAATGGAATAGAATTGAAGGTAACAGAATGGTAAAGAAATAAGCAATTACAAAAAAATAAAAATAAAAAAAAAAAAGAAAGAAGCAATTACATGAATGGGCTAATTATTTAACAAGTTTGGTAGTAAAAGAAAAAGAAGAAAACTATATGTGAAAAGCAATTTATAAAAAAATCATTTTCTTTAAAGATATTAGAAGTATATGTATATTCAAGACTATAGAAAGGAAGAAAATAAGGGTTTGTTTTTTTGATAGAAAAGATTAGGTATCTGAGAGAAGTCTTTGATTTTTCAGTTGGTTTTATTTTATTTTATTTTTTTAAGATTTTATTTATTTATTCATGAGAGACACAGAGAGAGACAGAGGCAGAGGCACAGGCAGAGGGAGAAGCAGGCTACACGCAGAGAGCCCGATGCGGCACTCGATCCCGGGTCTCCAGGATCAGGCCCTGGGCTGAAGGTGGCGCTAAACCTCTGAGCCACCGGGGCTGCCCATCAGTTGGTTTTTAAAAAGGAAATAGACACTATTTTTCACAGAAAAAGAATTAAAATTGCTACCTATAACCATTAATCATTGTTTCTCTTCTGCTTTCTGTTCATGAAAAATCTAAGGGTTAAAGTTAGTCTCAGCTAAATTCATGCCCATTTCCTTGATACTAAACTCTTAATATTTTCTTCCTAATGACAGAACATTTTAGTGGTGTCTGTGAATCTAGCTGTTATATATACATTTCCTTCTCTAGGAAAGAGGAATTACTATTAGAGTGGAGATTTGAAATTAGAGCTTATTTTTGCTCTGTTTCCTTATAGCATGAAGAAGATTTTGAATTACGGAAAGAACTGATTGGACAAGTGATGAACCAGCTTGGACAGCAGCTTGTAAGCCAGCTGCTCCACACATGCTGCTTTTGTCTCCCCCCCTATACCCTACCAGATGTGGCTGAAGTACTCTGGGAGATCATGCAGGTTGACAGACCGGTAAGATCGTTTTCATGAAGAACCCATTCTCACAGTCCTAAACTTTAGTTCCTGGAGGCCGATTATAACTTTGAAAACAGCTCTATTATGGGGATCCCTGGTTGGCGCAGCGGTTTGGCGCCTGCCTTTGGCCCAAGGCACGATCCTGGAGACCCGGGATCGAATCCCACGTCGGGCTCCCGGTGCATGGAACCTGCTTCTCTCTGCCTATGTCTCTGCCTCTCTCTCTCTCTGTGTGTGACTATCATAAATAAATAAAAATTTAAAAAAAAAAAAAAAGGAAACAGCTCTATTATATATCCATGGAACCTATTCTAGGCATATTTCTAAGTTTAATTAATAGATGATGGGGCCTATAGAAGGCCAGTGATTCATTATTAGGTTTTTGAAAACATGTTGGTTTCACTGTCACAGGGTTTATATTACCTGAAGTGAATACTAAGCATTAAATTCAGTTTCTGTGGCTGGCCAGTGAGAAATTTGTTCACTTGTGTGAAGAGATGCCCATATATCAGTTATATAATGATACAGATGGATATATTCAAGAAGTAAATTTACTTCCAGCTCCTTAGATAGCACTGTATGGTTTTCCATGCTAATAAATCTAGCCAGGGCATTTGGGGATATAGAAGCAGAAAATTAGCTCACAATATACTCTTGGATTTTTTTTCTCCTTTGGGTTAATTTGCATCTTGTTTCAGTTATTTTATTTATTTTATTGTATTTTTTATTGTATTTATTTTATTTTTTATTTTATTTTTAATTAATTTATTTGAGAGAGAGAGAGAGCACAAGCAGTGGGGAGAGGCAGAGGGAAAAGAAGAAGCAAGAAACAGGGAGCCCAGTGCAGGGGGAAGGAGAAACTTAGCAGGGAACCCAATGCAGGGCTCGATTCCAGGACCCTGGGATCATGACTCAAGCTGAAGGCAGGTGTTTAACCCACTAAGCCACCCAGGCACCCCTGATGTTTCAATTCTTGATCCAGGTCATTTATCACCTGGGCAAGGAAGTTTTTGTTAGGTTATCCAGTAATTTAATTACTGGGCCACATGATCATAAATCAGGTTATATGTACTGCATGAAAGTTTTGAGCATAGTGGTAAAGTATATATAGCCTGTACATGATTTTTAAATAGGACTTATAATTTTTAATATTAATATAAAAGCAGTTCAGAAAAGTATAGAGTTGCTTCAGTTAAAGTGAACTGTCTTCCAGAACTACAGAAAAATCCAGATGCACAAGTTTATTGTAACTTTTAAGTCCACATGCATCTTAATGTTGTTTCCTGCTTTGTATCACTGATAATAGATGTTAGCTTCAACTTCAGCAGTTTCACAAAACAGATGTTACTGAGCCAAAGGTTCTGCCTTGGATTTGTGTATTCATCTCCAAAATTTAGTGATTAGTGTATGTTGTCCAAGTGAGTATATGCTTTACTTGATTTAAGACTTAATTATTTGTTTGAGAGAGAGCAGGAATGGGAGCAGCAGCAGCAGCAGACGGGAGAATCTCGAGCGAACTCCATGCGGAGCGTGGAGCTCAACGCAGAGCTCGATCTCATGACCATGAGACCATGACCTGAGCTGAACCAAGAGTTGGACACTTAACCAGCTGCGCCACCCAGGCACCCCTAATTCTTGATATATCAAACTCTTGAGACTTCTATGTGACTCTGGTTTCATCAGATAGCTCTGCAATTCTTCCATGTAAGCTCAAATGCTTCAGGAATGAATAGTGTCTATAGTTCCTGTTGCTAGTAGTTCATTATGTTCTATTTCAATCTAATATGGCTATATTTTTGTGTTTTCCTAAAGAAAGTACTCTGTGAACCCCTCAGGACCAAGTTTAATTCCAAAAGTCCTTGACATGAGAAGTGAAATTTCCATACTGTTACTTTTTTTTTTTTTACACAAATATACTTGGTTCCCAGGTAACAGAAAACTTATTATGTAAATTTGACTTTATTTTTTTAAAGTTTTCATCTTTAATGAAATGACCTTGGAAATGTACATTTCCATGACACCAGTAGTACAGTTTATGGAGTGACAGTAAGGTACACAGAATTACATCTGTAATTAATATGAATGCCAACATTTCAAGCAGTAATTTCTGTTATATAGCAAACAAAATCAAGAAAGCAACCATCAAACAAAAGAGACCCAGAGCTTCAGACAAGGCAAATCCCAGGATAGCATATGAAAACCGCTGCTGCTTCGGCAAAGGGTTTCTGGCATAACCAGTGATAAAGCTGCCAAAGACTGTTCCAATACCAGCACCAGAACCAGCCACTCCCACTCTTGCAGCACCTGCACCAATAAATTTGGCAGCAGTATCAATGTCTCTGCTGATTGCACTGGTCTGAAACTCCCTTTGGATTAGCTGAGACACACCATTCTGGGCCCGATTAAATACTGTAGAGTGCTCTCCAGTCCTAGCCTCTGGTCGATATACCACTGATGCAGAAATTGGTCTGTATGCAACTCTGGATCCAGCTCGGATCAGAACAGGGGTGCAAGTGAGCTTGGCGCAGGCAAACATTGTACACTCTTTGGGACGATGTGGCTGGAGGACCTGGGTGACAGCCGACGCGAGCTCCTCTCCTGCTTCCCTTCTTCCCCAGAGGCGGCAGACGGGGCAGCATAGGTCAAAAGAGTGGCACTAAACCTAACTTTATAAAAACATTCTTGGGGCCCGTGGGTGACTTTGGCAACTCCCTTAAGCTCAGGTAATGATCTCAGGGTCCTAGGCTCGAGTCCCATGTGGGACTCCCTACTCAGGAGTCTTTTTCTCCCTCTCCCTCTGGCCCTCCCCTCTGCTTGTATTCTCCGCCCCCCCCTCAAATAAATGGATTTTTAAAAATATTTTTAAAAAATAAAAACGAAAACATTCTGGATTTGTAAATCTATGGTTAAGTGCTAACAGAAGAATAAAATTAGAACCACACATTTAGGCAGGAACAGAAATGAAATAGCCATGGGCTCATAAGAGTTTACTATATATATAACCACAGAATGGTGGTCAAGCAATTTAAAAAGATTGTTTTCTATAAACATCAACTTACAGCTAAGTTTTTGTAAAGGAACCCTTACGTAAATTTGGGTTGTCCATACCCTGTAAACTGATTGAAATTCTCTAAGGATGTAAGTCCAAAGAAAATTTGCATTGAGCACTTTCTTAATTGTACCATTTTCAAAATTCAGCACACAGATTCTTCAATAGAAGATGGTGTATCAGCTTCGTCATGTGACTTGAATATACTATTAAACCCTTACCTCTCTTCCTCTCTTTCTTTGTTGGATACCCATCTGTGGCCATTTACTCAGTGTTTTCAACCAGATTTCTCAGATTCCTTTACTGGTAAATGATTAGACCCATTGTGTGCTAGCTGATTAGTTTTGCTTTTTAGTTTCATTTCTGATTGTTCCATTTGGGGCTATATTGTAAATTCACAGGCTGTTTTTGGATTCCAAAACTTTATCAATTAATGGTTCTTCCAGAATTTCTTGCCCCTGCTTGTTTTTATCTTAGTAGTATTGTCTTCTTTGGGAGCAATACTTGGAGAATTATGCAGTACTTCTTAAACATTGTAATGGAATATTTACTTTTGCTCCAGTTTGTTATCATAAATTAACATAATGGAATATATAATGTAAAGAATATAGTTATAAAAGGTTATTTTACTGCTGAAAACTATGACCAAAATATACACCCTACTTAAGAAAGGTTTTAAAAAAGAAAAAAGGTGTAGAAGGGACTCCTGGGTGGTCTACCAGTTTAGCGCTTGCCTTTGGCCCAGGGCATGATCCTGGAGTCCGGGGATCGGGTCCTACATTGGGCTCCCTGCATGGAGCCTGCTTCTCCCTCTGCCTATCTCTGCCTCTCTCTCTCTGTGTCTGTCATGAATAAATAAATAAATAAAATCTTAAAAAAAAAGAAAGAAAAAGAAAGGTTTAGAAAATTAGAGCTAACTCAGAAAAGAACAATTCAACTGAAAATAACCCAGAAGAAGTCTCTAGAATTTGATTTTTTAATTTGAAGAGGAAGGGAAGTAAGGGTAGGGGTAGACAGTTTTTGTGCATATGGAAGGTATAAAGAGAGAGACTGTGCTCAGATATAAAAAATATTATTTTACAACATTTTTTTAAAAGTTGTATTTATTTGAGAGTGAGAGAGTCTATGAGTTGGGGTAGGGACAGAGGGAGAAAGAGAATCCCAAGCTGATGACCTGTTTAGCGTTGGAACCCGACATGGGGCTCGACCCCATAATCCATCCGATCATGACCTGAACCAAAACAGAGAGTTAGGATGCTCAACCCACTGAGCCACCAGGCACCCCAATAATATTCTTTTAAATAGCAACCAGAGGGATCCCTGGGTGGCGCAGCGGTTTGGCGCCTGCCTTTGGCCCAGGGCGCGATCCTGGAGACCCGGGATCGAATCCCACATCAGGCTCCCGGTGCATGGAGCGTGCTTCTCCCTCTGCCTGTGTCTCTGCCTCTCTCTCTCTCTCTCTCTCTCTCTCTCTCTCTCTCTCTCTCTCTCTGACTATAATAAATAAATAAATAAATAAATAAATAAATAAATAAATAAATAAATAAATAAATAAATAAATAAATAAATAAAAAATAAAATAAAATAAAATAAACCTCTAAAAACTCTTTAAAAAAAAATAAATAAATAGCAACCAGAGTGAGCAACAAAATTTTCTGGCCCAGAGAAAAGGCAGGTATCACAAAGGAGTTGACTGAATAGTTGACCTTAAAATCCTTTAGACTCTGATTCATATTATATATATATTCTTTGACATGTTTACTTACTATACTTTTTGTCCTTGCTCTTTGTGGTACTGAACTTTTGCTGTAAGTTGCCTTTGATCATTGTACTAGAGTTTTCTGGCAGCTGTTTAATTTTTGAAATATTACAGAAGTTTAATGATAGGAACAGAACAATAGTCTCATCCAGAAGAGACTTCATTTCTAAGGTAGAGAAGTGCTTTTGAAATGATGGCCTGCTGCACCTTTGAAGTGAAATCTAGATTTGCCTTTGTAGACCATTCCAAACCCCAGAGGGTTAGAAGGCCTAAAGATAGTAGTGCTTTTGTTAATTCCTTTACGTCCTTCCAAGTCTGGAAGACCTGATTCTGCTAAGGAAAACCTGCGGGTTGTGTTAATACTTGTAGAGTCTAGTTGAGTAAGCCCTGCCTCTTCTTAAAACTCTAACCATCTTCTCTGCACAGACTTTTTGTCGATGGTTAGAGAACTCCTTGAAAGGTTTGCCAAAGGAGACAACTGTGGGAGCGGTTACAGTGACACACAAACAACTTACAGATTTCCACAAACAAGTCACTAGGTGAGTGATGTGGGGTTTTTTTTGTTGTTGTTGTTTTAATGTGAACAGAAATGGTGTGCAGAAAAAATATATCTTTGTTTCTTATACCAAATATACAGGAGTATGTTTCTCGTGTGCCTTAAAATTCACAATTCAGTGTCTGTTTAGCATTGAATTGCCCACATTGACATTAGAAACCAATTTGAGGGGAAATATCACCATGCTGTATAGGTGTGCATCAGTTTTACTGTACAAACTTATTAACAGGTGTAAGATCTTAATGGGTAAGTGGAAGCATTATTTCTTCCAAGAGAAAAATGCATTCAGCAGACCACTACCCTTCACAAGATCTATCTTTATCTTTCTGGAGTCCTCTGTTCTTGTCTGTATTCGGGGATCAGGACTATAGATGTGAATTAGGCAAACCATTAGTTGTAAAACATAGATGATGTAAACTGAAGTGAATTGGAAAATACTCATTATGCCTAAGATACTGAAATTCTAATTGCATGCAGGCCAAATGAAATATCTGAGATGCTTTAAGCCCATGAGTCAATTGCTTGAAGCTTAGTTAAAATGTTAAGAAGTATACATGAGTATTTTTTTTTTTTTACTGTGAACATAGTAAACATTATAAGTGTAGCTGCATAGTCTTAATTACTACTTCATAGCTGTAAAGGTGTTGTTTAATTTCTGGACGGTGCCTCTATTAGTATACATTTAGATTATTTTTCAGTATTACAGGTAATATTAAAACTCTAGCCTAAAAAAAAAAAAAACTAGCCTTTTCCTTCTTTTGACTATTTTCCTTAAAATGCAGTCATTGGATCAAGATTATGAGATTTTATGGCTCTTGATAGCAATTGTATTTTGTAACTGTGTCCTACCTTGCCCCAATACATCTTTTTATATGTCTAGTATCTCTAGAATTCTGCCTAGATTTTAGGTATTAGCTTACAGTCATACAGTAGTGGAATTATTTATAGGTCTGAGAATTGAGTGTTGCAGAAGGGTTGGTAATAGTGAAAAACACTATAAATATTCTAATTGCTCATTAGTAGAAATTGGTTAACTGATTAACAGAATGTAACTAAATAAATAGGCACTAACAAAAAGGAGCAAGAATGTCATGATACAGAAGTATATGTAAGGTATATTATAGAGGGGAAAATTAACAGTATCATATAACCAACCCAGCTTCTACTGATGGTTTTCTTAAATTTCTAATTGTGATGAAATACAGATAGAATTTATCATTTTAACCATTCTTAAATATACTGTTCAGGAGTGTTAAGTACATTGTGCAATCACTGTCCGGAATTTTTTTCATCTTATAAAACCAAAACTTTACTCCTAAAACATCAACTCCCCCTCCTCCTAGCCTCCCGTCCCCAGCAACCATCACTCTACTTTCTGTTTATGATTCAGCTACTCTAGGTACCTCATATAAGTGAAATCATACAGTATTTGTACTTTTGTGACTCAATGTAATGTTCTCAAGGTTCATCCATGTTGGTAGTATGTGTCAGAATTTCCTTCCTTTTTACGGCTGAATGACATTCCATTTTCTGTATATACCACATTTATTTATTCATCTATTGATGGACATTTGGATTGCTTCTACCTCTTGGCTAAGTAATGCTGCTATGAGTATGGATGTATAAATATCTCTTTAAGACTCTTGCTTTCAGAACACCAGGAACCTCAGTCAGTTAAGTGTCCAACTCTTGATTTCAGCTAAGGTCATGGTCTCAAGCACCACATTGAGTTCTGTGATGGCCATGGAGCCTGCCTTAAGATTCTCTCTTCCTCTCTGCCCCTCCCCCCTTAAAAAAAAAAAAAGACCCTGCTTTCAATTCCTTTGGATTGAAAAGAATTCCCAGCACTGTCCTTTTACCCATGGAATGGTCTTGGCACCCTTATTGAAAATTATTTGACCATATATTGAGGGATTTATTTGGGGGCCCTCTGTTCTATTCCATTGATCTCTGTGTCTGTCTTATGTCAGTACCATACTGCTTTGGTTGTTATAGCTTTGTAATAATTTTGAAATTGGGAAATATAAGACACCCCCAACTTTGTTCTTTGTCCAGGGTTGTTTGGGGTCTTTGGGGATTCCCTATGAATTTTAGGATAGATTTTTCTATTTTCACAAAAAATATCATTAGGATTTTTTTTTAAGATTATATTTATTTATTCATGACAGACACAGAGAGAGAGAGAGAGGCAGAGACACAGAGAGAGAAGCAGGCTCCATGCAGGGAGCCCAACGTGGGACTCGATCCTGGGTCTCCAGGATCATACCTCGGGCTGAAGGCGGCACCAAACCGCTGGGCCATCGGGGCTGCCCTCATTAGGATTTTTGATAGGGATTGCATTGAACCTATAGATTGCTTTGAGTAGTATTGACATCCTAACAAAATTAAGTTTTCCAGTCTATGAACAAGGAGATATCTTTGTATTTATTGGAGTCTTTAATTTCTTTCAGCAGTGTCTTATAGTTTAAGTAATACATTATTTTTGATCCAGTTGTAAAGGAACCAACTTGCACTTTTAAAGGCTGCTATATATATCCATAGTAAATTTCTGGAAAGATAGCTAGGACCAAGAAGGGAGAAAAGACTTTTTACTTCATAACTTTCTATATTGTTTCATTTTTTTCATGAGCATGTGGTATACTTTTGTAATTAAAACCAGACCTAGTTTTTTAAAGTGGGGAGAGGGGTGCCTGAGTGGCTCAGTCAGTTAAGTGTCTGACTTTGGCTCAGGTCATGATCTTGGGGTCCTGGAATTGAGCCCCACATCAGGCTCTGTGCTTAGCAAGGAATCTGTTTGTTCCTCCCCACCACAACTTATTAAGTGGTGGTACAAGAGCTAATCTTTTCTGAGACTAATTTCTTGATCTTGCTTTCCAAAATGCAAGGGTTTGGGTTCTCCCAGGGTTTCTCATCTCCCAGGGTTTCACCAATAATTTTGTTAATTTGTTAAAATTCAAAGCCTGTGAGTTCTATTTTGTAGCTTACTAGAAGTGGCTTAACATCATGTCCCAGGAGTAACTGACTTTTGGCCATAGGCCAAATGACATGCATGACCAAAAAATGGCTTGTGACTACCTTCATGACATATTTTGCCAGAAGGGAATTTCCCCTCTTCTAGGTAGGTGTATATTGACTGGGAAGACTTTACAAAATTATTTTATTTATTTTTACTATGAATCTTCCCAGTGGGAGTACTATTCCACCCATAAGCAGTCTCAGGGGAAAGAGTATAGCTTCTTTCTGCTTCTATTTTGCTCTATTCCATCTAGTGGTATAGAAGGGAAGATCATATTGGTTCTAATTTCCTTAAAGCAAATGGGAGCCTGGAGAGAACCATCAAAGCACTAGGCTTAGAGTCAAGGATGTTGTCATGAATCTTGCCACTTACTGAACCTGAGCCTATTCATCTGTAAAATAGGATAATACCTATCTTATTCATAAAGGGTTATTATGAGATACCATGTGGAAATCTAAAGATTTGGCATGTTGTAGGTGATCAGTGAATGTTAACTTTCTCCTTGGAACAGAATCTGCAGGAATGTTGTTATGCATTTGCAAAGCTAGCTTGAGCATGTCTCCTGACAGCTCTAAGGCAGCCACCCACACATTCTAGAATAGGTCTCCACCAAACCTGTATTCCCTTATCTGGGCTAATCTATGATAGATAGAACAATAGAATAAATCTGAAAAGTCATGGACATTACCTTGTTTAAGGAAAATTGAGGCACACAGGAAAGGACCCCAAATAATGCAATGCTACAAAAAAAAATATCTTTGATTTTTGGCTTAATAAGGTGCACTACCAACCTGGCCTACTTGATCTCTCATTGCGGAACAAGTTTTGCTGCTCCTCCTAGAGTAGGCTGTGACACAGTCGTGGGAAATGAGTAGAAGAGGTAATGTTGAGGTGCTAGAGAAGGTTTGTGATTGCTCACCTCCTTATAGTAATTCTCTTTCTCTAGTATGTGTGTTGCTCTTGAACCTTCTGTTCCATGCATGACTCAGTCTCCCTTTTGGTTTTAAGGTCTTATAACTCCTGCCTCAACATGTTGCTTTGTTTGCCATCCTAACAGGGAGGGCAAACTGGTTCAGTTTCATTTCAGCAAGTCCAAGCCTGTTTTTCAAATGGTACTGGTAATTAACTAATTCTCTAACATTTTTGGTTGGTCAACTTGAAGAAAGCTGAGGTTTTTCATTCTGAAATATTCTTGCTCTCCAGATACCATTAATTATGACTGGAAGAAATCTTGCCATCATTTCCCATTTCTCTGTGTTGATGTTTATTCTCTGACTCTTAACACTTGGCATGAGGATCACAAGGTCAGAAGATGTTGAATTAAGGAAACATTGATTCTAGAGTTAGAAGCCAGTATGGGGTATCTTCTTGCTCAGATCATCAGTTAGAGTTTGGTTGCTTTCTGTCATCCACCAGAACATCAGGTGAAAAGGGCTGTGTTTCTCAGCACACTGCTAGGATTATGGGGCTTGAGGAACGAGCACCATAAAAGTATTCAGAAGTATGGTGAAAGGATCAGAATTGTGGGACTAGAAGCCAGAAGATAGAGCTTAGAAAAATAGTGCCTATTTTAAACGAATGAATGAAATGAGATGAAATGGAAAATAAATGCCAGAAGAACTGAGGCAGAAAACAAAATAGTAGTAGCTTTTAAGTTTGGTTGTTATTTTTAAATCAATTTCTCTGGGTCTAATCACCAAGGACACATTAAATATTTGGCTGAGGTTCTCCTCACCAGGGCAGTTGCCGACAGGACTGAGAGCAGAGCTGAGCTGACTCAAGATGCTGCCCGACCCCTCCTTCACCCTGGCTAACACAGTTCTCTGTACTTGCATTCTGGCTTTGGCACTTTTTCTCCTGTGTCACAAGAGAGGTGAAGGATGGAATTATCATTTCTCTTCTGGATTAAACCAAGGGTAGAAAGAGGGTAGAATTAAAACATGTGAGGCATTAGAACAGCAAAAGAATCTCTATTGTTAAGTCTCTATTGTTGCCCCACATTTAACTGTTTCGTACTGTCATAGTTCCTTATGATAACATGCCACACAGTGACTTCTTGTGGGTTGCATATCTTCTTCCTTTGTGACCATGGGAGCATGAGCGATTATGTGCTTGCCAACCCAATTGCCTCCTTAATAGTATTGATTTGGAAATAGAGTGAGGGAAGGTAATGGTTGTATTGAAGCATGTTAAATTTACAAATGGCAGAATTTTTATAAAACCAAAAGACTATCATTTTCATTAAATTTTTTGGGTGGAGAGACTGGAAGAAAGTTTCTAGAATCTTTTGTTGAATCAAATCCTGGGGTCTGAATCAAGGTTCTTAATGTTTCCAACCTTGTAAAAGGTAGGGAAATCCAGATGTAGGCACAAGGGAGATAGTTCTCCTTTCACCTTCTTTTCTGTGGAACCACTGTTATCAGTTCTTTCCCCTGCCGTTTAACCATTATGAGAAGGAGAAAGCACTTTCTTCTAACACTGAATCCTAGGCAGTAGGCTGTGGTCCTGAGTTTTTTTTTAGAGCCAAAGAGAGGGCCACAGAAGAATGAGCATATTTGGAAGTTCTTCCTCTTCCCCTGTTTTTAGCTTAGCTCCATGCCCATTTACTGAAGCCTATTATGAAGATTGTCACAAAAGAACAAAGTGGGCATCAACTGGATTTTCAGTAACAGTTTTGGACAAAGGCTTTTTGAAGAAATAGGGTCAGGTGAATATTGGGCTTTTCAAATCCCATCTCAGTGCTTATCTGAGGACCCGGTCCTGTTTCCCTCCCTACTTTCTACATGCCTTAACCCTTTCCTCTCTCCTCTCCTTTCTCCTCCCACAGGAGGAAACCCTGAGCAGCCTGTCCAACTAGAAAATTGCTGACTGCTAGAGACTTAGTTGCTGGAATGGGCTTTGTAAACAAAATCTGCCTTTGGAAGAGAATGAGGAAACCAAGATACCTAAGTTAGCTCAGCTCATAGAGTTAAAATTATTAGCCTTAGGTGAATATGCTTGCTTTTTTATTTGGGGGTTCTGGCTTTCTTGTATTTATGTCAGGGACTTCAACCAAGTGTTGAATGACTTAGTCCTCCAAACATTAATAAGGTAGGTAACGTGGTAAATGAAGCAACTTAGTAACTCGTCCGAGAGTGGCGGAGCCAAGATTCAAACCTAGGCAGTTTTTGTCCAAAGCCAGTCTTTAGGGACCATACAGCTTATAATTATTTCACATGCAGTAGTTAATGTTTGCCCTTGAGTTACAGAAAGATCAGAAGCAGAGTCCAGAGACAATGGAGAGAGCTTCAAACAACTAGGATAGTTCCCAGTGGACCTCGGTGTTGTGGTTGTTTTGAGCATATTTTATCTTTCTCATCAGGGACCAACCTACTTTTTCTTTTCTAGTGCTGAGGAATGTAAACAAGTTTGCTGGGCCTTGCGGGACTTCACCAGGTTGTTTCGATAGCTCACACTCCTGCACTGTGCCTGTCACCCAGGTGAGTGGTTATAGTTCCCGGCTTTTTCCCTGGCTGTCAGCAGTGCCTGGGGATGGCATAGGTTTTAGTGCCTATCATGGAACCTGTACTATAGCTAGTTAGGAAAGGACTTAACAGTTTAACACTGCTGAACGGTTAAGAAATGAAGGACCCAGGACTCCTGGATGGCTCAGCAGTTGAGCATGTGCCTTTGGCTCAGGGCATGATCCCAGAGCCTAGGATTGAGTCCCGCATTGGGCTTTCTGCATGGAGCCTGCTTCTCTTTCTGCCTATGTCTCTGCCTCTCTGTCTCTGTGTCTCATGAATAAATAAATAAAATTAAAAAAAGAGAGAGAGAAGAAAAGCAGGACCCTGATTTGCTTAGGTCAAGGCAGCCATGATCTTGTCAGGTGCTTTTGGATACTATCTTCACCCCCATAGGAAAGTTCTTATTGTAGGAGATCTCAAAAAACATTACTCCTCTCATCCTTTACAGACACTTGAGGGTGGTAAGTATGTACGTTAATAAGTATTTTTTTAATCTGGTTATTTTGGTGAAAACAGTGCTGACCTGAAGTTGACTATAATTACATTGACACCATTCTTCTAAAACTGACCTTTCAGATTTAATGAGCAGAGATGTTTATTCTTAACACTCTTTAAGTTTGTGAACTCCAAAATGCCAGGTTCTGACCAAGACAGGAGGTAGCATCTTTAGCTCCTCATCATCAGTTTTTCTCCATGTGCTTCTGTGACTCCTGGTTCTAAAGCAAAGCAAGAATCTTAGCTAAGGAAAGAAAGAAGTGGGTAGTGGGATTTGGGTACCAGTTTCTTGACTGAGAGCAGAAAGGCAGCTCTTGTCCTATGCCCTCTCTTTGACGTCTTAGACATTATCCTCCCTGGAGGCAGTTCTCAGTGGATGTGCAGCACCTCACTGGTGGCCATTAAATGTATTAGTAGATTAAGGCACTTTTCAGCAGTGCCTTGCCACACCAGAAATTATTTCTAAATTTTATTCTTTAGCAAGTAGTGATATCATTTGGGATCCTCAAGTTGTGCAGTGTCAGTAACAGCTAATGTTGGTACACATAGGCTTGTTCGTGGACAGCTGTGGATGCTCTTAGCTCACACTTATGGAGCGCTGTGTGTGTGTGTGTGCACGCCAGGTACTGTTCTAAGTGCTAAGATCATCCTCAGGTGGTTCTCTGGCTTAGTTACCGTTATTGTTCCCATGGTACAAGGGAATAGAGGTTCCAACATGTTAAACGATTTGTTTGATTTCACAGTGAGTAATTGATAGAGCCACAATTCAAACACTGATATTCTGGTGGTAGAGTCCTCACTTTTAACCACTCTACTTCATACTTTCACGTAGTACTATTTTCATACAGACTAAATCAGTGGTTTTTAAACTTTTGTTAGTAGACAGAGTCTTCCTTCAGCATAAACTCTTACATGAAACACACCAGAATTTAGACTAAAGTAGAGATTTTCTGGTTTGTTTAAGGTGGGTAGCCTAGACCTGCTGGCTCATTCTTTACCCCCAACATATCATCCCTAGTTTTACAACACTCAGAAGAGGACTACAGGTAGTATCATTATAGCAGTAGCCCTCTTGAAATCACAAGAAAAAAAAATCCAACTTTCTTTTTTTCACTGAGTTCTTATGGCAGAAGCCAGAATGAGGTACCTGAGCAAATAATAAGCTTCTTATAAAGTCAAGGTAGAAATATTCCTATCTCCTGAACCATAGTTATTGACTGTTTTGTCTCTTTTGTCAGGAATGTCTTTTAATTAGAAGACAGGAAGAAAAAAAAAAAAACCAGACTGTGTCCCACAATCAGAAACCTCCATTGTGGCAGAGGGGCCTTCACCGCCACCACGGCGTTCCGCCAGACAGGGAGAGACTCCAGCCTTCAGAGGCCATCCTGAGGAGTTCCTGTTTGGGGGTGTGAGGGAAAATCAGCGCGGTTTAAAAAAAAGATGGCTGCGGGCCTGTCCGGCGTGGTGGGAGGGGAGCTGGTTTCCTGGTGAACTTGTTTCAAAAGGAAAAATAATTTTAAAGAAATAAAAAAGGAAAAAAAGGAAAACTAAACTGAAACCAGAACTGAAACGTTCACTTGGTAGCAGTGACATGCACACACACGTACCTAAACACATGCTAACATGCATGTGCACACAATAAAATAAAAGTACAAATTTTTGTGAAACAGAAACCTTTACTTAGGGAAAATGGGAATTCAGACGAAATAGCTGCAATTGAAAGAAAAGGGTCAGGATCATCTTTTAAGGTTTTCTATTGTTTTTACCTCTTTCTCCCACCCTTCTTTCCCTTTCTCCTCTCTCTTTTAATGAAAATGAGTGGAAATTTCCTCCCACTCTCCCCAGCATTTCTTCCCACCTCTAGAGTTATTCAGACAAGGAGGAGCCTGTTTGTTTTATATCATGGTCACATCAGTGATACCAGGACCTGCCAGGGCCAAAATTCATGTATATTCCCAGCCCTGACCCTCTCCAATCTCTTAAATCCATTTCTAATCCCCACTGAGTTGTCATCAGCCTTGGAGAAAAGAGCCAAAATTAGGGTGAGTGGGATACAAATGTATATTCTAAGTTTTAGTTTTTTTAAGATTTTTGTGGGGTTTTTTTAGTTAATTTGTCACCCCTAGACATGAGAGAGGACAAAAAAGAGGGTGGGCATATGGGGGAAAGTGTTTACAGGGCTAACTGTATTTTACTAAAAAAAAATGTGGAAATTATTTGACTTCATTGAGGGGTGAGGCGGGAGAGGGAAGCCCAAATCAGATCTTAATGTTTTAAAGGAGTTGCAGCCCTGCACAGGTGTTAGCTATGAGGGCACTGTTCTGTCTGGTGTTGTAGCCATCGCAAGAACAAATCAACAACAACAAAAAAAAAAAAAAGAAAAGAAAAGAAAAAACAATAAATTTTTAAAATTTAATCAGTGTTTGTTTTTCCTCTTTTCACTGCCTCATAGCTCTGAAATGATACAGCTAGACTGCGTGACTGAGCAGTCTTAGCCCTTACCTGGGAGATGGCTGTGGATCAAGTTTAAACAGCAGCCCCCTGCCCTTGATGCCACGGATACTTCATATTTCAGAAATGGCTCCTGCATCTTTTATTCTTTCTTCTAGTTCATCCTAAAACTCCTCGTGCTACACTTTATTCTTTCATATAGCCTCAGGAGCCAAGAGAATGGGTCCCTACACATGTTAAACAAAAATGCGGCACATATATTCTCTACAAAGCCACCCAAGTAGATTCCTAACCCACTGATTCCTAACACACTGACTATGGTATTTGGTCTTTGAAAAAAAGAAACCTGTATTGCACTATAATTGACACAGGATAAGCTGCACATATTTCAGTTAAACAGTTGATAAGCTTTGACAATGGATACACCCATGAAACCATTAACACAATCAAGATAGTGAACATACCTTTACTCCCAAAAGTTTCCTCATGCCTCTTACATCCTCCAATAGCTACTAATCAGCTTTCTGTCACTATAGATTAGTTTGCATTTTCTTTAGTTTTATATAAATAGGATCACATAGTGTGTTAAAGCAGTTGGGTTTTGAGCTAATAAGTTTGACTGCAGAGCTCTATATAGTGTTTGGAATCAGTAAAACTGAACCTTCCTGCATAACCTCAGTTGTACTCAAGAGTTTGACTTGGACAGGATTTTAGACCGCACACATCTAAAAATCCGCCCACCCTTCAGCTAGCTTCCTCCTGGAAAGCAGAGCCAGCCAGCTGAGTGCTTATGGAGCCCCACTGACTCATCAACCTGGAAGGCTGGCCCTCCTCCTGTCGTAGCCCTAGAGATGGAAGGCAGGTGCTAGGGGAAAGGGCCAGCTGATGCCAGAAATAGGGTCTGGTAGAAGAGCATGGAAGCAGATGGTACTGGAAAAAGTAAGCTGAATCTGTTTTTAATATTTATTAATTGAAAAATACATAAAATTCCATTTCTACCCCAAGGAGGTAGCTGCTGGCCTTAAGGATCCGGTATGATACCTAAGTGCCCTTCTCAGGAAGGAGAGAGATGTGAAGAAGTGAGGCCCAAACTAGGGAACCCCACAACCTGATCAGGCCTATCCCTGCTGAGGCAGCATGGCCCATAGCACTTGGCTCTTCTGGCCACAGGAACTGGGGCAACCACAAGAGTGGGCCACTCTGAGACCGTTCCCTCTCAACGAGCCCCCCAGGGGTGGTGGGGGAGTTACTTCTCTGCTTCCTGGGGCTTATGGCTGAGTTCCTCCAGAGTGAGCAGAGGAGAGGCACATACAGGGAGACAGCCCTCAAAGCAAAACTGGCTTCCAGCTTCCCTCAGATGCTACGGGAAAGAGCCTGGAACTTGGACCTCTCTTCCCTCTCCCTTCTCCGTGCAAACCCACTCCAGGACACCCAGATAGTGGGCCCCGTAGCCAGTCAGATGCCCACTGGGGCCATCACCCTTCACATGAGCCCACACCCCCAGGTGGGAAGCTGTGCCAATGTCCGTCTGCATGCAGTCTCATTGTTGCATGCCAACTGAGTGCATGGGCCAGGCCCCCTGGCCAGCACTGAGGCCTGCCACAGCGGGGGCCTGGGCCACAGGCTGCAACCGCTGCTGGGACTGCCAGAGGTGATGGAGCTCCTTGAACTGCTCTACCATGCGGTCTTTGAGGTCTGGGTTTGAGATCTGTAGCCGGATACTATCAGCTGACCAAGAAAGCTCCCCTGAGAACATCTCCAGCAACAGCCGAGCTGCTACAGGCACCACCTGTGGGGCAAAGACAAAAACAGTCAAATCCAGTTGTGCCTGAGGCATCCACCAGAGGGCAGCTGGTGGACTGCATCCACCAGGAAGAAGAAGGGGCACCAATTTCTACTTCATACAAAGGCTGCTGATGTGTGGGCAGCCTCCGGCCTTGATTATCTCTGGCCACTGAGTTCCCACTGCTCAGAGAGCCCTGGGCCTCTACCTGGGGCAAGGGCTGATCCCCAGGATTCCCCAATATTCAAACCAAAGCAGAGTAGGGGGTGAGATGGCGGTATACCTGTACAGTGATGAGCTTCTTCTCTCGGGGTTTGCGGTCAGGCCACTCCTCCCCAAAGCAGAAGAAGATCTCAAATGGCGGTGGGGTGTTAGTCTGGCCCTTCTGGAACAGGATGAGCTCTGCAGCAAGATCAAGACCCTTAGAGGCTAGAACCATGCCCCTGGATGAGAGAAAGCCAGGAGGAACACGATGCGGGTCCCTCACCATTGAGAAAATGCTCCAGGCTGAAAAGCTTGGTTTTGACCTCCCGCTGGATGGGGTTGGGGTGTGAGCCGTGGGCCGAGGCACAGGGCCCGCTCCAGAACACCTTGCACTGGCACAGGCGGATGGCATACAGATCTTGGCCCTGCAGCTGGAGTATGAGGCCGCGGTCCAGGACATCCAGTAGCTGGTTTGTGTAGAAGCGCTGCTTGTCGCTGGGGATGTCCTCAGGGCTGGGGAAGCGCACTTGCTCCAGGCTCACGGGGCCGAAGAGCTCTACCTGGTCCTGGGTGGGCTCCAGCTGACTGTAGAAGAGCCGGCACCCCTGGGGGTTGCTGATGGTGAGGGCACGGGGTGGCCGCCCCCGGTACTGGAACTTGATCTCCAGGTCCGTCACTGTGGGGCAGAGGGCAGTCCCACCCAGGCCGTGAGCCCCACGCCTCCTCATTCTGTAGCCCACTGACTTGCTCTGTCCTCTGCCCAGTGGCCAGACCATCCTGTCAGCAATCCCAGTGGCCCCCCCCACCCTGTCCCCAACCCAAGGAGGGACTGGCTTGAGCATCTTTGCTCTTCATCCTCCACCCTTCTGGCAAACCAACCCCCCAGCGCGCTTTACCCACCCAGCCCTCCTGTGGGTCCTTACGAGGCAGCATGTGGGGGCTGATTAGCAGGTCGGGCAGGAGTTGTTCGCCTGTGGGGGGCAGGCTGGCAGCCAGGGGCCCAGGCTGCAGACTCGGCAGGACTTCAGGGAGAAGCTCCCCAAAGCCAGCAGGGTTGCCAGGGGTGGGGCCCAGCAGGCTGGGGTCTGGTGCAGGAGGGCCCAGCACCACAGGCGGCTGGAGGGTGGGCGGCCACTTTACATCCTCTTTGGGTAAAGAATAGGGTGCCATGGGGGGGCCAGGTTGCACTGCTTCTACAGAGGGTGGGGGCAGGCAGAGCTTTAATGCCACTTCTGGAAACTTCCCCCTAGGCCCACCTACTCCCAGTCCTGGGCCTCCCCCCAGCCTCCCTTCAGCCCCCTCCCAGGTACCTATGGTACCTGCAGCCTCTACTTCTACTAGGCCCCCAACCACACCACCTCCCGGCCCCACCTGTGATGCTCAGGCTTGGTAACATCCTCTGGAGCTGTAGGGAAGACCCAGGCAGAGGAGGGAATAGGCCAGAGAGAGAGAAGGGAGGACAGGTTAAGAATTGATCTGAAGCTAAAGAAACACATGAGAACAACAGGCAATTCCCCGGTGCTCAGCTCTGCAAGGCCAGAGTCTGCCTTCCATCCCAGCTCTGCCCTCCCAGGCGGCTCCATGAGCTCTCACTGCAGGTAGCGGGCCCTACTCAGCCCCAGCTCCTGTGCGGGTGTGTCAGACAACACGTGGGCGTGTTTTGTGCCAACAAAGCCCTAAGGGAGTTCAGGGCAGTGACTGTGTCCTTAGCCTCAGAACCCCAAGAAGAAACTCAACAGCAGAGCTACTAAAAAGGCTGCAGGAGCCTGGAGGAAGGACCGCGGAATCCTAAAGCAGAGCACGCAGCAGAGAGGTCCCGACAAGGCCCACCACGTCAGTGCAGGCCGACGCTGCCAGGAATGGCCCCGAGCTCACGTCTTCCTCTTCTTCCTCCTCCTCCTCTCCCGCACCAAAAGTGTAATCCTCACTAGGCTGGGACTCTGTAGAGTAGGGAGAGAAAACAAAGGGAGTCAGTGGAGGAGGAGGAGGAAGGCCACCAGGGCTCCACGGGGCAGCTCCTCACCCACAGTGGCCCCCACAGTGAGGTGAAACCCCACATAGCTGCCAGGAATCACTGGGGACCTCCCTGACCCCATGGCACTAAGCTTCTTAAGTCACTAGACCTACACTCCCTGTAGCCAAGAGCCACGAACAGGGCAAACTGAGGAAGGTAGACATGGAGCCTGGTCTCTGCCAGGTCATTCCCGGCCTCATAAGTGGCCTCATGGCAGGCCACTCACGGGAACTTGGGGTGTTAGGACCTGGAAGCAGGTCCCTGACCACTGCACGCTGGAGGGACCCTGGGCCTTCCCGAACAGCTTCCTAGGTGGCCCACCTAGGGCCAGGCCTGATACCTGCAGGAGCGGAGCCATTAGAGCAGACCTCGTAGATCTTGTAGGGCTGAGGCGGCATGTCCCGGGGTCCATCATAGATGAGGCGGAAGTCACGGCTCTTGTTAAGGGCACAGCGCAGATTGGCCTTCCACTTGGCTGGGTCCGCCTCGTCCACCCCCTCGGTGTACTTTCCTGTCTCCTTGGCCCAGGCCTGAGGCAGGAAGAAAAGATAGGCCACCACCGAGAACCACCCTCCGCAATGCCCCAGCCCCTCCTCGCCTATGGAAGTCACTGCTGAGCGGTGAGAAGTTCAGGGACACACGGAGCCCCAGAGCATCTCTCTGCGAGGTGAGAGACTGGGAGACGGGCCTGCAATCCTCCCCAGTCTCCTCAGGGCTCCACCAAACTACAGGAAACCTACGTGCTTTGAAAGGCATTTCATCAGCCACTCCTGGGAGGGTAAATAGATAAAATCTCCGAGCAGGACGGTGTAACATGGAAGGTAAGAGCACTGGATCTGGAATGGGATTCATTTGAATCTGGAAACTGCCATCCACCAGCTGTGGGCCAAGAGCATGTCACTCTGCCTCTTTTTGCTGTAATGTCTCCATCGGAGTCTCCCCTCACAGTGTGCTAGTGAAGACTCCAGAGCCCACAAAGCTTTCAGAACTGTGCCTGCACTTCAGATGGGCTCCATACACTTCAGCTGTTGGTATTATTTTTGAGGGTAAGTTGGCTGATGTCAGGGTTCCAAATATTCTCCCCCCCCACTTTTTTTTAAAGATTTTATTTATTTATTCATGAGAGACATACACAGAGAGAGAGAGAGAGGCAGAGACACAGGTAGAGGGAGAAGCAGGCTCCATGCAGGGAGCCCGATGTGGGACTTGATCCCAGGACTCCAGGATCGTGCCCTGGACCAAAGGCAGGCATCAAACTGCTGAGCCACCCAGGGATTCCCTATTTCTCCCCTTTAACCTAGCAATTTAACTTCTAGGAGTTTATCTTGGGGATACAGAAGCATCCACATAAAATTCTGCACATACAAGGTTATTCACTGCAGCACTATTTGTAAAAGCAGAAGACCCCAAATAAATAAATGCCCATCAGGGGATCCCTGGGTGGCGCAGCGGTTTGGCGCCTGCCTTTGGCCCAGGGCGCGATCCTGGAGACCCGGGATCGAATCCCACGTCGGGCTCCCGGTGCATGGAGCCTGCTTCTCCCTCTGCCTGTGTCTCTGCCTCTCTCCCTCTCTCTGTGACTATCATAAATAAATAAAAATTAAAAAAAAAATTTAAAAAAAAAAATAAATGCCCATCAATGGGACCTGATTAAATTATAGCCAATCCTTAGAATGGAATACTGGGCAGCAAGAAAAAAAAAGGAGGTGCTTTTGATATACTGAAAAGTCATAATCTTCAAGAAATATGAGGTACAGAAGGGTAGCTGTCATTTTGTGAAAAGCAGGGAGGAAAGATAGGTACCTATTTGTGTGTATGCACAAAAATCCCTCAGGAAGGAGAAACGAGAAATTGACAATACTAATTGCCTCCAGGGAGGGATTGTGTGGCTGGAGACAGAGGTGGGAGAGAGGCCTTTTTGCTGCAAACCATTGTACACTTTTTAAAATTTTGCACTGCATTACCTATTCCAAAATAAGAAACAGATTTGAAAAGAACCTTCAAAGGGTAAAATATCTACCTGCAAAGACTAAGGAAATATCTACTTGCAAAGACTATTGGAAAACATCCAAATCTTTAAAAATAAGGATTCTCTTTGACCCAGCAATGCTGAACTCTAGCAACTAACCCCAAAGAAAATCATTTATGATATCCAAAGGGTAAGTAAGAGTTTAGAAGGTGTACATGGCAACAGGTCTTCAATACCGGAACACTAAAAGCCAAGTGAGGTGTCCAAAAGCCAGGTGTGGATAACTAAACTGCTAACCCCTCCAGTGGTCACCAAAAGTGATGTGACATTTATGGCAGAGGAGAGCTGGACCTGATGTTGGGTGGAAAATACAGGATACAAAACAATATACAGTTGATTTCATTTTTTAATTTTATAGACACACATACAGAAAACTGAAAATAGAAGCAAAAAAGTATCCAAAGTCGTTACCTCCTAGTGTTAACATTATGGAGGCATTCTGGGGTCTTCTTTTAGCGTATGTGCACTCCACACAGGCGCCCTGCACACGCATGTACTGACGTGTGATGAGAATGAGAAAGGAAAAGGGAGGAGGAGGAAGGTCTCCTGGTGGGGAGGGGCTTCTGTCCCCACCTTGCTCTGGGCAACAGGTTAAAAAAAAAGGCACAGCTGTAGGAATGCCTGCATCCCCTTAGTCCAAGCCTGGGGTCACCTGCAGCAGGGCAGCTGGGACAGTGGTCAGTTTGGTATATGGGGGATCCTCTTCTAGGGCGGTGCCTCCGAAGTCCAGGCGGTAACCCCCATCCAGAGCTTACCTTGAAGATGGTATTATCCCCCTCCTGGCTGGGGCCGTGTCGCGTGGCATGGCGCCAGGGGATGCAGAAGAATTTCCTTTCCCCATTGACCCACTGAAGCCCTGGGTACTGGCAGCTGTTCACCTGGGCCACCAGCCAGGGCTTCAGTCGCACGCGGCGCGGCGGAGGGGGTGCCCTGGGGGCAGGCTGGTTCATGGCCAAGGGGTCTGTGGGAGAAACCCAGAGGCGGCGCATCAGAAGCTTTGCAGATAGACGCTGCCTATGGCACAAAGACGTGGGGTGGGGGCACCCAGGGTGGGGGTTGCCAAGCCAGGGGTACTGTGGCTTTCTCTTCCTCCCAGCACTGGGGGCCAGCGTGTCTCCAGCCTGCCCAGATGCTCACAGCCAATTCCCTTTTCCAACCATCAGCTTTCTTGTCACAGGGTCACTACATCTGTGCTCTGAGTTTGGGGGGGGTGGGGGGGACAGGGTTTACAGATACAGCGGATGCTGTGCGTGCCGCACCCAGACATGCTTTCCCAAGTGGGGCACCAGCTCCCCAGCTGCTGTGAGGCTGGAGCAGCACAAAGGCACTGAGCTGCTCACTGCCGTCTCACTCCCGAGGCTCCCTCCAGGGCCCATGTGACTGACAGGCGAGGAGAAAAAGCCAGTCTCCTTGCTTCCGTGGAGCAAACCGGTGCAACGTGCAACGTGTGCTCCAGAACTGCCTGCGGGCCAGGCTGAAGGCTGCCTCCAGCCCATCCCACATCTTTGCTCAGCTTTCTTCCTGCCCACCCTGCTGCCCTCCCTCTCCTTGTCCCCAGGACTCCCTCCCTACAGCACCTTCGAGGAAACCTGGCGCAAGAGCAGGTCACCATGTGTGAATGGAGGGAGGGTTCCCAGCCTATCCCTCAGAACTCCCTTTCTTCCTCAGTTTTCCTCAGGGATGAAGCTTCTCTGAGGAAAGCTGGAAGTCTGGAGAGAAATCCTAGCAGCCATCTCAGCCCACCTCCTGCATCTCCAGGACAGCAGCCTTAAGTAGGACTTGAGAAATACCAGCCAAGTGATATACCCCAGGTACTAGAAGATTCTGTCCTGCACCCGTTTCTCCTCCACCGGCCCTGCTCTCTCCAGGATCCTCCTCTGACTCAGAGTGGGGTGAGACCAGAGGTCAGAGGAAGGCCGCTGGGGCTGTGACACAGGCAAGGGTCCAAGGTGGGGCAGGCCTGTCAGGGAAGGAATGGCTGGAGGAAATGGGGCATCCGGATGGCGGATTGGGACAAGAGCTATCCTTAGCGTTTGTGGTACCACCGTGTGACAAAAGGACTAGGGTTTGAGTCAACACCTGAACAGCCTCCACAGAGGCGGACTAGAGACCAGGTTGAAAAAAAGAACTTTCTGAAAGCTAAAGCCATGTGACGAACAGGCTAGGCCTGGGAGCAACTGGTGTCTGAAGGTACTCAAGCTCAGGTGAGCTTCCTGGCCTGCCGTTGGGGTGAGCTTGGAGGGAGAGGCTCTCTCAGGTGTGGGCCCCATCATTCCAGGCTTGCTTGGAGCTCAGTTTCCCCAGAAATTCCCTGCCCGGTACCTTTTTGGGTTGTAGTTGTTAAGCGCCACCTCCACGCTGCTAAAAAGTCTCCATCGGGCAGGCCTCTCTTCAGAGCAGTGCCCAGATCCGGGCTGCGACAGGAAGAGTAAGAGACCCCCCAGCCCAGTCCCCAGGCCTCAAAAGACTGGTGGCTCAGTTCCCCTTTCTGAACCAAACTCCACCCAGACCCAGGGGAAATGAAAGTGGCCAGACCAGACAACTCGGAAATCTGACTCACTGTGAACATGGAAAAAGTGACATTTGGGTCCCCAAGACCACATTCTTAATCCACTACCCTGTAGCCCATTGCCCCCCATCCCTAAGCTTGCTGATGGTCATTATACATTAGCCTGGTTCACAGCAGGGGGTAGAGCCTTGCCCACTACATCAGTTTTTATAGTTCCCAGCTGCACCCTCTGCAGAGAGGCCTTGCTCCTCGAACAGACTGGTGATGGGCACCGGTAGCTGTCAATTCTGGCTAAGTGGAGGTGGACAGAGGAAAGCTCTGAAGACCCAGAGGAGAAGGCAAGCGACCCTGATGATCATCTCTCCACATGGTCAGGCCAGCAGCTGTGCGTGGGGTGGTGGAGCGGGGAGACCAGAGAGGCCTACTCCTCTGCCCAGGGCAAGGAGGAAGTCAGGGTGAGTCCTGCCGCCTAGCCTGGCCCAGCAGTGCTGTTCAATACAAAGATTTTGAAATGACTCATGTCAGTAATGTACAATCCCTTTGGGCAGTCTAAGGAGCGGGGTATGGAGAAGAGGCTCCCAGGACAAGTCCAGCCAGGGCCAAGGGAGGGTGTCCAGCAGGCCAAACAAACATCTTCAGCCTCAGGTGCACCAAGACCAGGCTCAGTGTGTTTCCCAAGGAGGCTTCCTCCTGCCTGGAGGTGGGCTTAGATCTAATTCAGACTATCCTAATGCTAAGAGTTCTGAATCTCAAAGCGTTTGCACCCCATCCCTACTTTCCCTCCAGATAGAAACAGTCACCCACACTCCCAGGGGACCTCAGAAGCTATAGCACAACCTAAAAACTCCATCCTACATTCTATCCCCCCTTGCTGTGAGGACTTGATTTTTCAGGCCTGCCTTCTCAGGAGTCTGGAGACTTGGGGGTGATATTTCTGCAGCCCCCAGACCTAGGATTTGAGCTCTAGAGAGTGGGGAAAGCCAAAAGAACCTGCATCAGTTTCCATGGAAATGAGGAAAAGAGGTGTGGGCTGCTGAGGATCTAAGGAAGCCCTCATGGGTGAATTATATAAAAGTGAAGCATCTAGAGGGGCAGCTCAGGAACTTACGCTGGGGTAGGGAAGCCCCACAATTCACACCGGGACCCTAAAGTTCCAGGAGGCAACCACCTGAGGAGCCTGGAACCCCATAGGGCCCAGGGACCCCTAGGGAAGGAAGCTCTGCAGCCCCATAGTGTGAGGAGCATTAAGCCCCTTGCCACCTCTGGACTTTGATTACACTGTCTCCCTGCAAACCCCACACTAAACTCGGGGAGAAGGCGAAGGGTTCCCTACACCTGGCGTCACCCTAATCCCACACCCTCCAGGTGAGTTGACCACATCTTGAGACAAGCAGATGCCTCTCTCGGCTTCCTTCAGGGGAAAGCAGAGGTGCAGGGGGAAACCCCAAAGTAAGGCCTTTAGGCTTTAGAAAAAAAAAAAAAAAAGTGGTTTCCCAATGCCTCCCTAGGCTTGACAGGAGCCAGCTGCCAGACCGGATAGTTCAAGGGAGGGCGGGGACTCTGCCCCTGGCCCCGTCGGCCTCCTGGCCTCCTCCGCGAGCCGCCTGCGTCCTGGCTGCTCCTGGTCACTTAGCCCCGCTCTGGGGGGGCAACCTGGCGGGTCCCGCGGAGCCACCTCCAGGGCGCCGGCCCGTTCGCCTGCTCCCGGGCTCCTCCCGCTGACGGCGCCCCCTGCCTCGGCCCCGCCACCGCAGGGGCTGCCCAGGGGCTGCCCAGAGGCTCCTGCGGGCGGGGTGGCGTGGGGGGGACACCTTCTACCCGCCTCGCGGCCACGGCCCTCTGCCTTTCCTTCTACTTTTAGACTCTTCCTTGTTTTAAGTTCGAAGGGAGGACGTTCGAGAGCCTAGTCCAGGAACTGCTCCCGCGGTTCTTCTCTGCTAGGAGGCTCGGCGCCCCTCGCTGCTGGTCACGGGTCAGGAGGCGCCCCCGCCCGACACCGTCTTCCCACACACTCTGCCCCGGTTCCTGCCATTGGCCTCAAGGTCCTGGGGAGACGAGCCCTTTAAGCCTCATCCTCTGGACCGAAAGCGGGATGCCCAGGGGCCGCCTCCAAGACCCAAGCCAGACCGCGGCCGCGCGCCGGGGCGCTCCCATCCCTGCGGCGGCTTGACGCGCTGGAGGGAGCGGAGAGCGGAGCGGGCCCCCCGGCGCTGCCGACCGCCCCGCCGCGCGGCCCCCGGGCCTCCGGGCGCCTGCGGGGCCAAGGCTGCCGGGCCGGCGCACCCTCCGCCCATCGCGCCGCAGAAAGCTCGGAGGAGGCCGCCCTGCAGTCGGCGCCCCCAACGCCCCGCCGCCCGGGCTCGGCCGCCTGGCGGAGCCGGACGCGCCCCCTCCCGCGCTCCCGCCCCGCCCCGTCCCCCCCGCCCGCCGCCGGCAGGTGCCCCGACGGCGCGGAGAGGAGCGCGGGCGGCCGCGACCTACCTGTGTGCGCTGCGCCCGCGTGGCTGCGCCCGGGAGCACCGGCCGGCGGCGGGCCGAGCTGCGCTCTCCGCGAGCGGCGCCTCCCGCCAGCCCGGCACTTCCGCGTCGCCCGCCCCCGCCCCTGGGCCGCGGCCGCCGAGCCTGGGAGCGCCCGCAGCGCCCCGCCCTGCCCCTCGGGACCACCCCGGAGGCGCCCCAGCCCGCGGCGACCCCGCGGCCGAGCGCCCGGCGCATCCGGCCCCGCGCCTCCGGGCCCGCCAGGCCGACTCCTGGGCTCGCTCGGGCACCTGCAGCTGCGAAGAGTCGTCCGACAGCCCCGCAGCCCGGCCGCCGGCCGCAGAGCTCGGCCGAGTCCGGGCACTCCCGCCCCGACGGGCTTGCAGAAGGGCTCCTCACGCCGCCCGGCCCCTCTCTGCGTCTCGGCCCTCGCACCGCCTGCCCCGGCCCTCCCTCCCTGGTCGCCCCGGGGACCTCCCAGGGCCAGTGCGTGGTCCCTCGTCCTGCGTGTCACACTCACGGCTGCTTGGACCGTCCATCTGCCGCTCTGAGCGGTTTTCGCTTTGAGGTTCCGGCCCCAACCTTCATAGGCCCCGTTCCTTCTCCTGGAGCATCTCCTCTTGCCTTCATAACGGCTGCTCTCTGAATTTTGTTTCAGCATCACCTCCTCTGGAAAGCCTGCCTTGACTTCCTCTACTTGGTCGGGTTTCTGAGCTCCCAAGCTCATCCTTGTTGGCTTCATTTATGAATTTTTTTTTTTTGATGTCTGATTCCCACTGCAGTCAGCTTACTCGGGGGGGGGGGGGGCTCTTCTTGTCTTTTCATTTTCTCTAGTAATTTTTAATTTAAAAAATTGTTTTTGAATTTTTTAATTTATTTATTATAGTCACAGAGAGAGAGAGAGAGAGAGAGAGGCAGAGACACAGGCAGAGGGAGAAGCAGGCTCCATGCACCGGGAGCCCGACGTGGGATTCGATCCCGGGTCTCCAGGATCGCGCCCTGGGCCAAAGGCAGGCGCCAAACCGCTGCGCCACCCAGGGATCCCCTAATTAAAAAAAAATTTAATGAAGAGCAATTTCCAAGTTAAATTTTAGATAGCAACTGAAATATATTCATTTTTTTCTAATATTATCAAAATACTGCCAGATTCCTGTAGAGCCCGCGTGCGTGAATGAATGTGTGGGTGGGGGGAGCTGCATTACTTGCCCTTTAAAGCGGGCACTGTATTTTTTGCAAATTCAGTGTTAGTTGATGAATCAGAACTTTGACCTTTCCCTCCTCTGCTTTTCCCTCTAGGAACACCTGAGTTGCTCTTCATTATTAATATGTATCATTACTCATTATGTGTTGTCTTTTTTTCTTCATTTCTGCGTCTCCCTCTCCCTCTCCCCCAAACCTCAGTCCTAACGTAAAATGGAAATATAGTTATGTACAAGTATTTTATTATTTGTATCTGCTGAGTATTTCACTATTTCATATTTTTAAAAATTTAAAGTGTGGATGGGGAAAGTGTGGATAGTAGATTTATATTTTTCTTCTGTAAAAATGAAACTGCCATTAAGTAGAAAGTGGCCACCACAAAATGGGAACCCTTTCCCACCGATGCTTGATAGAAAAATATTCTACATTGGTCCAGAAAATATATCTGGAGCAAGAGCCACCAAGAGACTTCTTTTATTGTCAGATGTCCCACACAGAGTCTGAGGGACCATGAGACTCTAGGATTCTGCACCCTGCCCTCTACCCACTGCCCCTCTTGCTCAGGTGAGGTCCCAGCTCTTAGAGACTCTGAAGTCTGTTAAGAGCCCTGCAGGGGGGAAAAAAAAAAGATCCCTACAGGGGCTGTGTAGAGGAAGCTCACCACACTTGAGCTGGCATCCATCTCTGGTGCCAAGTGACCTTAGGCAGGTTCTATGAATCTGATTCCCTGTCTGTAAAGGGGAGAAGATGTTACCGAGCTCACAGCATTGGCAGGAGGCTCCAGTGATAGGCGCTACACAGGAGCTCTGCTCCACCGGGGCCTGCCTTGAGCAGACTGGGGGAAATCTGAACAAAGAACCACTCTGGGCCAGAGACATGGCATAGGAAGGAAGGAGCAGGGGCTCTTCCAGGCTCTTCCAAAACAGAAGGGTCCCCATGGTGAAGCAAAAGCAAAGGGAAAGTGAGGCTACACCCAATGCCGCGTAATCACTCCTGGTCTCTCAACCCCACCCCTGCGCCCCCAGCAGGGCCTGGCCACAAGGAAGCAGGGAGACTTGGCCTCCACAGCCCCGGACATGTGCCCAGGCCCCTCACTCCCAATGGTGAGCTAGCCCCTGCCCCCACTTCCCCTGCCTGGGGTAGCAGATTGAGGGTGTGGTGAGAAGCCCAATTCCGGTAGAGGCCAGGGTGCATGAGTGTGTGGGTGGGGGGAGCTGTATCACCAAAGGGAACTGAAAGAAGCTGAGTGTGAGTGGGTAGGGAGAGAGGACAAAGGTGCAAGAGGCAGTGGGACAAGAGCCCCCGCCCAACTCTGGACCTGCCCCTCTCAGTGCAGGCCTGAATGAGAGCTGCCTCGACCGCCCCTCCAGGAGACCCATCCCCTCAGGCTCAGCCCTTGGGATTCCCCAGGCTCACCTGTCTCCTAGATACCCCTCTTTCTGGGAACTTGCTGGCTAGATGCCAGGCTCTGGAGTCTAACAGGCCTGAGTCACTCCCTGGCTCTACCACTGAGGCATTGTGTGACCTTGAGCAAGCCACAGCCTCGCTGGGATCCCCATTTCCATCACTGCACAGGTTGGTGGTGAGGCCTAAATTCAGCACATCCCAGTGAGCACCTTCTATCTGCTGGGATAAAACAGTGAGCAAGAGTCTGTTTGGTCTAAACCCCCCGCCCTCCTGGAGCTTCCATTCTGGGGAGGCAGATGCTTAAGTAACAGAATTAGTGGTCTTTGTGGATCATCGTGCAGGCTGAGCCCATGTGATCTGACTTAGGCTTTGACTCGGCCTCTCTGGGCTCCTGTACGCATGCAAGTGGTAGCTCTAGTAGGATCAATGCCCAGGAGGCCTCACTGGGACTTCCTCCCCGTTTCTTACCAGTGACTGCCACCTCCTCAGAGCTTTCCAGGGCAAGACCTGGAAGTCCCCTACTTGGCCAGCACTGTCACATGCACACCTGTAGACCTCCTGCCCCATGTTCCCCCACTTGCAGCTCCCTTTACCTCCTCACATGGCCTGAGGCCTAAGGACCTGTGCTGTCGCCCCATCCATCCCAGACCTGGCTCTTTCTGCTCCCTTGGCCCTTTTAAGAGCAAAAGCTACTTCCCTTTTCCTTCATAGTCAGCACCTTTCCTTGCCCTGCCCACCCCCACCTCCCCACGCTGGCAACCTGGCCTACCCCTCTTGCATGGATTCTGGCTCTGAACCTCGGTCCCACAGTTCAAACAGGCCCTGGAAGTCCCAGGAACTCCCAGAAACTCTGGTCTCTGTATCTCTTTCTCACATAAACTCTCCAATCCCAGGGTTTCACTGTTGCCTAGATTTCTCATGGGCTTGCTATGTATTTATTTATTTTAAGAGAGGACAGGGGGAGGGGAGGGGCAGAGGGAGAGGGAGAGAGAATCTTTTATTTTTCTTTTAAGATTTTATTTATTTATTCATGAGAGACACAGAGAGAAATGCAGAGACATAGGTAGAGGGATAGCTCCCTGCAGGGATACCAGTGCAGGACTCCATCCCAGGACCCCGGAATCACGACCTGAGCCAAAGGCGGATGCTCAACCACTGAGCCCCTGGGGGAGAGAGAGAATCTTAAGCATGTTCCCTGCCCAGCCAGAAATGGGGCTCCATCTCACACCCCTGAGATCATGACCTGAGCTAAAATCAAGAGTCAGATGCTCAACTGACTGAGCCTCCCAGGTGCCTCTCTCATCAGTTCTTTATTTTTTTTTTCTTTAAAAAAATTATTTTTTATTTATTTTATTTTTTTTCATCAGTTCTTTAAATAAAGGTGGTGGAGACTCTCCTCACACACCTCAGTGCCCTAACATTGTCCCCCTCGAGTAGGGCTGCCCAGCCTCCCACTGCAGTCATCACTGGTCCTTCTGTTGACCCCTCCCCCACTCACATCCTCCTTCTAGATGCCAGGATGCCTCACCCAGGCATCCTTACACTCCCACCCCCACCCTCACTGCTGCACACAATGATTCAAGTGCTCCCCAAATCTGCTGAGCTCAGTGTTTCACTCAAACCACTTCCCTCCCCCCTCCTGGGCTCTGTCATAGAAGGGATCAGGACTCTATCCTTCCTGCCTGTGTAGAGCAAGAGGCACCTGGATAAGAAGGAAAAGAAAGAAGAGAAAACCCAAGCCTTCTAGGGTCCTGCACTGTGAATCGCTGTTTTGCGGGGACAGAGGCCTCTTGGCCTCACAGAATCCAGGTGTGGACCTCAGTGTCCTCTCTTGTCCCAAACAGACCTGGTTGAAATCCAGAGTCTGTAGATGTTCCCACCAGGGACTGGAGTCCCATTCAGGTGCACAAGGCCCACCCATTGTTGGTTGGGGTGCAGGAGGCCCTGTAGTCACAGGCACCAATGTGCTTACCAGCCAAATCCACCTCAAGCCCCTGTAGCTTAGAATCAGTGCTTG